GCCCACGGATGCAGAGATGATTACACTCCCAAGTCTAATAGGGCACATAAATTATAAGCACACAAATCATACTCATAAAGTATGGTTAATACAGATGGTAGAACCTCAACATCTGCAGGTGAGGCCAAATATTTTAATCTGTTTTCTGTTGCTATAACAAAATACCTGAGGCCAGACATCTTATAAAGCAGAGATTTATTTAGCTCACAGTTATAGGGGTTAAAAGTCCAAGAGAAGATAACTGTGTGTTTGGGCCTCTGTTAAGGGCCTTGTGGCAGAAGTCATCACAATGGCAGGCATGAGTGCAGATCATGTGGTGAGACAAAAAGCCAGAGAGGGGATTCAGGGAGCACTTTCAGAGGCTTACTCTTTTTATAACAACTCACTATTGTGGGAACCAACCAGATTACCATGAGGGCGTGCGTACCCCTCATTACCTAACGGCCTCCCACGAGGTCTTGTCTCTTAAAGGTTCCACTCTTGGGTGTTGATAAACCATTTAATTCCCAAATATATATACATATATATATATGAATCTCAACTCTTGCCCAGATTGAGCTTGATTCCTATATTTGACACTTGGATGTCCCACAGACCCTTCAGACTAAACATTTTCCAAAGCTCAGCATCTTCTAAACTTACCATTCTCCACTCTTTCCAATTCAACATTCAAAATCTTAAAATACCACCCAAGTCAAGAAACATCACCTCCATGTACCATCAATCAATAAGTTTTTTAATCTAAAAGTTCTCACATCTGTCCCCAGCTCTATCCTCATTTGTAGTGTTGCGCTTTAGGCCTTATCATGGCTAGCTTGATTTACTGCAATGGCTTCATAAGTTGGATTCCTGCAGGAGTTCAATCTTTTCTTCCTTAAATTCATCTTCCATACTGTTCCCAGAATAAGCTATCAAAATGTAATTCTGCAGTCAATAAAAATGGCAAAAGTTCTTATAACATGTAAAAATGTTCATGATGTATTGCTAAGGGAAAAAAGGCAGGTTCCAAACCAGTATGTCTACAATGATCCCATATTTGGTTTTTAAAAAATGTGCACAAATGCACCGAAAAATGAAATGGAGTACACCAAAATAATCACAGAGGTTACCTTCCAGGGGTAGATTAAGGATGACTGTGTTAGTCAGCAGTCAGCTTTTCATCACTGACCAAAATACCTGACAAAACAACTTCAGAGTAGGAAAGACTTATTCTGGGTCATGATTTTAGAGGTTCAGTCCACGGTCAGCTGGCTCCATTGCTTTGGGCCTGCCTGAGGTGAGGCTAGACACCATGGCCAAAGTGTGTAGCAGAGGGGGGCTGCTCAGCTCATGGCACTCAGGAAGCAAAGAGAGGGGAAGGAAGGAGTCAGAGACAAGATACAGTCCCTCAGGGTCCCCCCAATGACATACTTCCTTCAACTATGCCCACTTGCCTACAGTTACCATCTAGTAATCCTTTCAAAAGGTTAGAGCCCTTATGACCCACTCCTAAAAGTCCCACCTCTGGACATTAATTACTGCACTGGAGACCATGTCTTCAACCCATGAAATCTGGGGGATGTTACAGATCCAAACCATTACAATGGCTTTCAGACTTTTGTTTAATTTTCCAAGATTTCTGCAAGAAGCACATGCTAATTAGAAAAAAGATAAATCCACAAATCTGACAATGTCAATTTCTTCCTTAAAATCCAGAATCAGCTCCTCACTGGCAAGACAAGGTCCAAGCATCTTACTACTAATTCCCCTCCAGCCTTTTCTCCCCATCTTACATCACAGAGCAGAGGCTCTCAAACATCATGCATCTTGGTTCCTAAGCCCTACCTCCAGAGGTTCTGATTGTCTAAGGTGTGGCCCAAGAATTTGCCTTCCTAATTGGTTCCCTGGTGATGCAGATGATTTTGGTTTGGGAACACATTCTTTACAATTATTACTGTGGTAAAATGTATATGATGTAAAATTTACCATTTTAACCACTTTTAAGTGTATAATTCAGTGGCATTAAATACCTTCACAAAATTGTACAAAAATCACCATTTTCCACTTTTAGAACTTTTTTTTTCATTTTCCCAAGCAAAACCTCTGTACACATTAAGCAATCCCCCCTTTCTCCCTCTGAGCCCTAGTAAACTCCTATCATATTCTCTGTCTCTATACATTTGCTTACTCTAGGTAGTTCACAGGAGAGGAATCATACTGTATTGCTCTTTGGGTCTGGCTTATGAATAATGTTCATAACTTGCTCATAGTTCATCCATGTTTTTGCATGTGTAAAAATTCCAGGTTGAATAATATTCCCTTTGTCTCTACATACTGCATTTTATTTATCCATTCTATCTATCCTTGGACACTTGTGTGGTTTCCACCTTGTGACTAATTGTGAGTGACAATGTTAAAACCCCTGTGCACATGTATATTTGGGTCTCTGTTTTCAATTCTTTTGGATATAGACCATCATGGCCGAAGAGTGTAGTGGGGCTACTCAGCTCATGGCACTCAGGAAGCAAACAGGGGAAGAAAGCAGTCAGAGACAAGATATAGTCCCCCACGGTCCCCACAATGACATACTTCCTTCAACCATGCCAAGTGAAACTGCAAAAGGATGTGGTAATTCAACTTAACTTTTTGGGAACCACAACATGATTTTCCATGGTGGCTATATCACTTGACCTTCCCACCAGCAGTACATCGGGGTTCTAATTTCTTATGTCCTTACTGCCAAGAATGCAGTTCGCCGTCCTTATGGGTGTGAAGTGCTATATTTTCAATTTGCATTTCATTATGACCTGGGGACACATTTTGAGAATGACTGCTACAGTAACAGCGAGGATCCACTATCCCCTCAACAGTATTATTCACCACTTAACACTTTCACTCTGCCAATCCCTCTGCCTTGACTCACCCTCAGCTTCCTCTACTAACTTCCTTCCATCCGTTACAACCCACTTTGCATTTCATCTCCAGAAAACCTTCTGGGAACCTCTAGATTAGGCAGGTAACCTAACAGAATGCCAGAGAGGCTCAGGAGAGTAAGGGATTGGACTAAAGGCAGTGGTTTAGTTGAAAATCTATACTGAGAGCAATTAAATCCCAAGACCCCCTTTGTTACTGTAAACAGACAGGTGGCAATTATGCAGGATTCCCTTAGAGAGAGCTTGTCACTCCACTGCCAAGAACGCAGTTGGCTAACAGTCTCACCTTGCAATGCCTTCTGGATTCACCTTGGCTGTTGCTGAGCTTACTTGGCCATCAATGAGCACATCCAGGAGCCTGGCCCTTTCTGCCCAGTGGGGAGATTCTCCTACAAGTGATCTTACTCTGGAGCTCCCTGTTGGGTTAGCTGACATCCTGTCAGATCCGCACCACAGCTGGAGGCTTTCTCTACCAGCCCTTCTTCCTCTCCCTTCTCTTTACAGCTGTTAGGTCTGTACTGTGCCTCACAATTTCTCCTGCCCATTAAACATTCCCCCTTAAACTTCTTGTGCCCCTCTGTCTCAGTCCCTGCTTTCCAAAGGATCCAAATGACATAGTTGGTTCTGAGAGTGATCCAGCAGGGCAGCTGGTAAGACAGATTTGGAACTGAAACACTTCCTGCCTTGCTGGTCATGAGTACCATCCAGGGTGTGGGGAACGAACAGTCCCTTATGCAAAGCAGTCACCTCATCACTAAAACTCCCATGTATGGTGACTAGGGAGGATGTCCTGCCATGCCTGGTACAATAATTTGGGATTTTGAAAAGCTCAGGTGAACAAGTCATACAAGGATAATGGCATTGATTGGTCTTTAATATGCTGTACTAGTACCTACAGAAGGGAAAGGAAGGGAAGGAAAGGAAAAACTGAATGTAATTAACAAACAAGTGACAATTAAATGAGTACCTTATCACCTGAGGTAGAGAAAAGACAAAGTCCAAGACCAAACTCAGGACTTAATAGTTAAAAACTTCAGTCAAATCTTTAAAGACATCCACCCAGATATTTCCATGCACATGTCAGGGTCCTAAGTTTTCACAATCAGTGCCCTGACCTTAACTTGACAGCCTTGCCCCAAATGGCCACTCCGCTGGCCAAGATAGTAAATCAATAACAAAATTATATCTTGGAGATGATGAGGATGAGGTCACCCTTGAGGCTCTCAAGGATGCAGAGGTGGGTCCCCACCACATCTCTATTTAACTCATTTATCTGGTCCCCAATGAAAGTGGGTAGCCTGGAGAGCAACTGCAGACAACTGCCGGCTGAAACAAGTAGCAACTCCCCAGGTGGTTGTGGTGCCCACAGGGCATCTTCTTAGTGAGGATACATGGTATTCCACCAATGATTTGGTGAATGTGTACATTTCCATCTTGATCACAAAAGATAAAGAGACAGTTGCACTCAGTTTCACCTAAGGGCTGCATGAACTAGTTCTGTTTTCCTGGGAGACTTGAATTTTCTGAATATCCTGTAGAGTGTCACATGGCTCTATCACATTGATGGTATCAGGCTGACCAGGCAAGATTAAGAGGAAGAGGACAGCACACTGGTGGCATTGATAATTCTCTTTCAACCTGATGATGATTCAGAGGCTTGCTATTTCAATAAAGTTTTTAGGAGTCTGATGATCAGGGTGTGCCAGGACATGCCCTCCAAAGTAAAAGTCAAATTGCCATTTCTGACATCCTCTTCCACAAAGAAGAAAGTGGTGCCCCGTAGTCTCTGAGGTTCTAGCAACAATACAATCTACATAGAGGGAAACTGCTCCAGCCCGTATCTCCAGTGACCCAAGGCGACAAGCTTTGAAATCTGTATTCTTGATAATCAGAGGGGTAAACCAGCTTTCTCTCACTTTCTCAGCCCAGTGTCCAGTCAGTTACTTTTCAAGTCAACTTACAGTCTTTAGGACAGAGTGATTAAATAATACATAATCAAGTATTTTAAAAATTTCCTCTAGAGCAAAATAAAAATATACATTACTTAAAATGTCTCATTCTACATTAAATATATTAAAATACTGGTAATTTTATAAATAAAATAATTATAAACAGTAAACATGTGATAAAAATTCTCTGATACAGGTTATATAGGGGTCAACAACTGATTTTGAAAATACAAAAACTTTAAATTCTGTTTTAAAAAAGCATTTTACAAAATTATCCAAAGTTAAAAAGTGCTAGATATGCATTCATTTTGTTCCATTTTTAAAGCACAATATCACACCTTGAAAAAAAGCTGAATTACAGCATAATACTCATCCTACTTCTCCTATAAATAAAAACTTAAAAGACTTCTATCCACTGGTAAAGGCTGGGAGGCCAACTGAGTTCCAAGCCAGCCAAGGCTGCAATCCACCCAGCGCTGTTCAGGAGATTCCTTCCTGGCCCACCCCTAGATATATCTGTCTATGCCTACTACTTCCTAATTTCCAGAAGATGTTTTCTGAAAGAATTCTGACATTTAAATCCTGTGCCAATTGACAATCTTCCAAAGACTGAGGCACTTTGTATTTGAATTTAATACAAAAAGTGATGAATCTAATTCCAAATGAAAAGAGGGCACTTCATTTGGTCACTTGATTTCATACCATTTGTTGAGGTAGGATAATTTTCTTCTTCTCTGAAAAACAATGCCAAGTATATGAATGCTGGCTATACAGGAAAGGGTTCTAGTGCCTTTTCTGCATTCTTCCAGTTGTGAAAATTCTCTTTGTACCACTCAACTGGTAGGAAAAACAAAAGACAAAGATAAAAAATGAAAAACTAAACATCAATTAATCAACAAACAACTGAGTTCCTGCTACGTAAGAAGTTTTGCTCATCAGTTGAGCAACAGACAAAGGCTGTATGTACATTGACATAAGCTGATTTTGAACTTAATGAAGTTAGAAGACATTTTATTGGCTGAAAATATGAGAATTTAAAATCAACCCTTCATTTTCTTTTCTTTTTTTTTTTCTTTAAAAAGCCCTACAATACTGAACCTGCTGACAACAACTGTTTAAGACATTTTAATTTTAAGGAATTTGAGGTGAGAGGGACAGGTCATTTGTACTGGTTTTACAAGTTATTTTATAAAAAAGTGTACTCTTTGGTCATATAAACATGGTAATACTGCATCAGAGGCAGAGTGAGATCAGTGAGCTTCCTTCTATTAATATATGAAATTATTTCATGCCATATTATCACAAGAAGCATTTTTTAAAAGTTAAAAGAAATCTAATAAAGTTTTCTTTGATTTTGCTTTTTAATATTCAATCCAAGTTTATTATATTTCAAGTTTTTTGTTGTTGTTGTTGTTGTTCTTGTTGTTTTTACTGGGGATTGACCACGGACACTCTCTATCACTGACTTACATTCCCAATCCTTTATATTTTATGTTGAGACAGGGTCTTGCTTAGTTGTCCAGGCTGGCCTTGAACCTGCTATCCTCTTTCCTCAGCCTATGGGAACTGGAGTCATAGGTGTGTACCACCATGCCTTGCTATTTGCTATTTAAAAAAAAATTATTTGTTCTTTTTAGTTCTTAACAGTACAATGTATTTTGACATATCATACATACATGGAGTATAACTTCCCATTCTTGTGGTTATATATGAAGTGGAGTTACACTGGTCATGTATTTATGTATGAACATAGGATCACATTCTTTTTTTTTAATATTTTTTTAGCTATAGATGGATATGATACCTTTATTTAATTTATTTTTATGTGGTGCTCAGGATTGAACCCAGGGCTTCACACATGCAAGGTGAGCACTCTACCACTGAGCCACAACCCAGCCCAGCATCATGTTCTTAATAAAGACTTTTTTCTACATTTGGATAGATCTTTTTTCATGAGTACATTTCTAAATAGACTTTTAACACATACAGATTTTCTATTTATTTTAATAGATTTTTCTGCATATCTGAATTTGTTTTGTATTTGTTTGTTTCAATATAAAATGACTCAAGACACTCAAGGATTACAAATCTAAAATGCCAATGACCATACTAGATGGATACTTATTTAAAATATTACTAAGAGAAAGAAAGCTGCAATAATAATCATAAGACATCAGCAATTATAAAACAAATACCTATCACAGATATGAAGAAAGAAAAATTGTGTATTTCAGAATCAATTAAATAGGTATTTGATTAATGATAAGAGAAAGAAAGACTTATAAGTTAATTATGAAATTCAAAATGCTCAGGAAACAGTAGTGTTGTTAGAGAAGTATATTAAATGTTACAATTTGAAGAGTGCATATGATCCATCACAATATTCTGCTGAATTTGTATAGTGTTCGAAAAATGCATCACTTTTCCTTTTAATTTTTCTGAATTGCCCCCCAAATATCCAGTTATAACATACTTGTTTTCTTTATTCCTTCATTCCAAGGCACTTTAGGTTTCCATCCTAATCCATGAATTTTTTCTGACTTCATTGGATACCTCATATCATTGGTAGGTCTTAGAAAAACAAAAGAGATTTAAAATAACATTGTAGCTAAATATTTACAAATTTAAATATTAAGAGAGATAATATGTTTTCATGCATCTTTACCATAATTAAAGTTTAGAATAATTCCCTCTAATGATATGCTTATTGTAGAAAATTTGTTATTAAAAAAACCATAATCCCCAACACTTAACCCTCTCTGTGGTTTAGACTTTTTGTGATTTATTTCAGCCACAATTTAATTCCAGTGCCTAGCACACAGAAGGAACTTATGAAATGTGTGATGAATGAAAAAATAAATGCATACATTTATGTGCCAGGCTCTGATCCAAGTATTTTATATACATAATTAAACCTTAAAATACCATTATAAGTAAGATAATATTATCCCTATTTCACAATGAAAGACACCTCAGACTTGGATAACTTCTTTAAGTCACATAGCTAGTAACAGTGCTGTGCCTAATCTGTGTAACACTTAAAATTAGGAAAAAAATATTTTACCAGAAAATTCAAAACAGATAAACTAGTTCTCAGTTAAGCCCATATAATTTATAATACCTAAGATTTCACAACCTTTTCCCAATGTTTTAACTTGTTACTCACCTATCATTAACATAATCAACCCAATTTTCCATTTCAGACTCTGAATTGGTCTCTTTGATCTGTCAAAATGCAGAAAGCTATTGAGTCAAATTATAAAATGAGACTAGAGAATAACAATGGTATTTAATAGCTGATTAAAAAGACAAGAAAAACAATTGCCTCAAAACAGGGGAGACAGCAAAAATACTTTTAATACTTTACATATGCTTCCTATACTTCATAACCTAAATTTTACCTGAAGTTCAAAAATAATACACATTGTATGAACCATGGGAGAAAACAAATTTTCCTGACCTTTAGTTATTACTTGGTATTACTGGTTCCCCTCTCTACTAAACTCTATAATTTATAATTGATATTGCCTCACATATATATATATTCATAACCATAGTTATTTTACATATCAGTATTCTTTGGTTCTAAGACACAGTCTATATTTACAAAATTGAGGTATCTTACAATTAGGGCAGGTACATTTAATGAATTATCTTTTTTTCAAAAAAATGTTACTAAATGAATGCTAGAGCTTCAAGTGAAGACATATATGGGATACCTATAATCATGAATTTCATTTTCCCTTTACTCACTTAAAAATTAAATCAACTGTAAACTACTACTGACTAAATTAGTGATTAGTTACAGTTGTGTAAACACCACCTTTTTACAAAAGATACGTACCAGTTGTATTAGTTCTTTGGCGAGCTGGACAACTGACATTTCAAAATTGGTTCCAATGTTGTAAATTTCACCTGGTTTTCCCTTTTTGAGGACAGTAAGAAATGCTTCTACTACATCAGTAGCATAAAGGAAATTTCTTGTTTGAAGCCCTGATCCATGAATGCAGCTGAACAGATTAAATGAAGCAGAATCATCAAATGTAAAAATGTAAGCGCTCCTAAACAGGATAAAACACTGGGAACAAGTAAAGAGAAGACAATTCCCACAGAGAGCCTGGAAACCTTTTACTGAAAACACAAAAATATGAATAGCTCTTTAAAAATTTTTTTCTAGTAGATGGACACAATGCTTTTATTTTATTTTTATGTGGTGCCGGGGATCAAACCCAGTGCCTCACATGTGCCAGGCAAGCACTCTGCCAACTGAGCCACGATCCAAGCCCAGCTCTTTTAAATTTTAACCTTAGTTCTTCAATGATGTCCAAAGCATCTGAGGTTATTCAATAAAAAATCAGCAAACATGGGCCCATGATAAATATTTGTCAATTTTATACCACAAGTTCATTTTAAAGAAATGTCTACAGTTCTATATAAATTAATCCTTTGAAAAAGTAAAATTATGTAAAGACAGATACCAAATTTTAATGCTATGGCTCAAAGATCTATAATAAGCCATTTAAAAACAAATTATTTTAGTAAATTATGGAAATGAAATACAGCTTATAATTATTGAAATGAAGAAGGAACTCTTAAATTTGGTGGGACATTCAACTCATGGCCTCCAACTCTAAGACTGATTTTCAAGAGAGACTGTTACCAAATACTATCAACATATCAGAAAAGCATACAGATACAAAGGTAAACAACATACCATTTCCTGTTGTGTTGCAGTAGAGATATAAATTTTGGAATGACCTAAAAGAATATTTAAGATTCATTTTAAACATCAAATATTCACTCATTAATATGAATCTGAACTCATGATATATTAAAAATCATTATTAGAAAACTACACATATGGAAAAAATTGAATTCTTTTTACCAGGAACTCATGAAAAAAACCTAAATACTCAATAAGTGAGAGAACTCCAAGATAGCTTGCTATTTCACAAAAAGCAGTTCTCTGAAGATAAAATTATATCAACAGTGGAAGAACCCGAGAAAGTCTTCATGGACAGTTTTCTGTCATCATAAAGCTCACTTCTGTGTTGATTTCTAAAGAGCAGGAATTGAATCTTATTTATCACTTTACATGTAACCACTCACTCAATAAGTACTTGTGGGATTTATAAAAAATTACAGTATCCTTGAATTCAAAGAAAACTTATGTTAAACGTGGCAAGCAAGAAATTACTAAATTTATATTAAACTTGATAAGGATACTCCAAAAATTAAGCAATATGAATCTGAATACCAGCACACCACGAAATGGCCCTTTTCTTTGGGCAAACAGATCAAAACAACCAGCTTGGAAGTGAGAAAACCCAGACTCCAAATTTAGGCATAGTAGGCAACAGTTACCTAAAAGCAGGCTTAATGACACAGAACCAACTGCACAGGGATTCCCAGCCATTTAGCACATTTCTTTATTCACTACTTATTACTTTCTGGAAGACATTCAGGCACACCACAATCAAAAAGAATTGGAAGCTGGGCACAGTGGTGCTCACCACTTGTGATCACAGCACTGCCCAGAAGGCTGAGGCAGGATGGCATGTTCAAGCCAGCCTGGGACAGTTAGTGAGACCCTGTCTCAAAATTAAAAATAAAATGGTCTGGGGATATAGCACAGATGGTAAAGGGGCCTGGGTTCAATACTCAGTTCTGGAAAGGAAAAAAAAAAAAGAAAAAAAGAGCTGGGGCACAGTTAACCCAATGATATAATACAAATTTACCTACAAGTGTCCTGCATCAATAATTAGCTTTCAACTTTCCATACATCCTGACATAATGGGGTGATTGCAAACTGAGAGCCTTAACTACAGCATGGTGGCTGCAGTGGGAAAATTCTGTAGTACTTCAGAGTCCTAGGAAGTACAGGGTATTTTCATATATATCACCTGAATCCTTCAAAATCCTGAGCATTTTCATTATCCCTCAATTTAAAGACAATGCTCAAAGAGCCTTAGGTTATGGCAGCTGGAGAGCATCAAGTTGATACTTAAATTCAAGTCTTCAAACTCAAGTCTGAGAAGATTTGCCTAATTCTGTGGCCTGTGCAGAATAATTATGTATAATTACAGCATAAATTTTTTGGACAAAAAATGACGAGAAGATATTTTAAACAAAGAAAAATTACAATCACTAAAACAACCACCATGAATTCGGAATAAAATTACCTTTTCTGGATATTGATGTGGTCCATAAACATTACTGCTCCTTGTGATGACAACTGGAAACTTAAAGAATATTCAACATTAAGGCAATTATAATAGTGATTATTAGAAAGCTACACAGAATTTTTAAAAAGAAGCACCTTTGCTTAAATAATTCCACATGTCATGAAGACAGAACAAAGAGACTGTTTCTAACGTACGGTTCTTAGAAAGGCAGGAGAGGATAAGGTTCCAATAAGAGCAAAGGGTCCAAAAGGGGGATGAAGACAATTCTCCTCATTGGGACAGGGGAGAATGGGCACAGATGGAGGCGGGTTTGTAATTCTGCCAGCAGAATACTGAGGACTCTTCCATCTGACCATTTCAAGAACCAACTCTAGGACTCTAAGCTTAGCTAGATGGTAACCAAGTTGGCTCTCTCCACTGTATCAACCCTTTAGAGCTACCACAAAAGGGAAGAGGACCAATGCTACTAAAACATAAAAAGCAAGAGGATCTTGAATGCCTTTCTGATCTAGCCCCTAACAACTCAAAGATCAGTGTGAAGTCAAAGATATGGGCCTCAAGATGATGATCCTACTGGCTAAGGCTCCCACAGCAACACTGTCAGAGCACCAGGGGAAGGTCTATCTCCCATTCATGAGAAACCAAGAGTGCTGAACCATGCAGAGAAGTATGTGGCAGGGAAGAGAATCTGTCCTTCCTCTCTCTGTCTTCCTCTACTCATGGGCTTCCAACAGGGCCTTCACTATACCTGTAACACTCTACTTATTACTGAAATAGGAAAAAATATGTATTCAAACTATTCCTTTAATAATGAACTGAACAAGAAAAGTTAAGTCATATCTTGGCCACACAATATAAAAATCAATTAATCTTGGGCTGGGGATATAGCTCAGTTGGTTGAGTGCTTGCCTAGAATGCACAAGGTCCTGGTTTCAATCCCCAGCACCACACACACACACACACACACACACACACACACACAAATCAATTATCTTACATTCCTTAGTACTACATTTTCTCAAGCTGTCTTCTACCCGATAACTAAAATGCTGCTAGAGTTGAGTTGGAATTTTAACACTTAAGTCCAAGATAAAATGGTACAAGAGTTTCTGCAATCAGTTCTTACCTTGTATCGTTCCCAGTAAGACTGTACAAAACACTCAGCAGCTGCTTTGGATGATGCGTAAGGATTTGTAGGTTGTTTGGGTGATGATTCATCAAATTCCTAATGTTAAAAAGATATATTAAAAAAATAAGTACTACATATACTTTCTAAGTAGAAAACATATTACAAACTTGAACTTGAATTGTTTACTATAGCATTTAAAAAAAAACACCGTTTCTTGAACACTGTGTATCTGAATCTTTACATGCACCCACAGTAACTTCTTTAGTGATCACAAAAACCCTGTAAGGCAGGCAGAGAGAAGAACAAGTACAAAAGCTTTAAGATAGAAGAATGTCCAAAGGACCTGCGGGAAAGCTGCTGTTCAGGAAGAGAGATGGGAGATGAGCTCAGAGAGCTGGACGGAGGGCAGAATGGTACCCTGAACCCTGGAAGGTCACTGTGAAAACACTGACAGATTTTGAACAGAATAACGCCATGACCTGATTTCTATTTTAAGAATCATTTGGGCTACTGTGCCAGATCTGATAGAGAGTGGAAAGGGAATTAGAAGGAAGAAGTTTGATAAAAACTGCAGAGAGTTGAAAGTGGCTACTTCTCAGAGGACTAGGGATCCACAAGTGGTCAGGGTCTCCTTTTTCTCACTAGAGGTCTTTTTAAACTTTTGACTTTTTTTTTCAGTGTGTGTGTGTTTTGGTTTAAAAAAAAAAAAAAAAAAAAAAAATTAATATATATATTTAAAAATATAAAAAATTTTTTTTTAAAAAAAACACACATATGTGAGTGTGTGTGTGGTGTGTGTTTGTGTATATAGACAAAATGAGTTCCCTATAAAAACTGACTGTAAAAAACAGAGCTTTCTGCCCATGGATGCCATTAAGCAAGCACTATTAAGTCTCTCTTCTCATGAAGCCATGTCTAAGTCACAGTCTCCTGGAGATCACTGGAGGCCTGCACTTTTGAAACAACCCATGGGAGTCGGAGGAGCCATTCTGAACAACGTGGAACACTCAGACTGTGTGGTAATGAGAGATACAAACACCACACACTCCAGGGGCTCTGGGCTTGCCACTTACTCCTCTGTGGAGGAGGTGGGTGCAGCCATGAATGTGAGGCCATACAAAAGAGATGGGATTGTGGAACCTTAGAAAGCTGTCTCAAGGGAAGATTCTCCAAGGCCAGGAGCCCACATGACTGTGGAAAAGATCTTTGTGGGCAGCATTAGAAAAGACACTGAAGAACATGACCTAAGAGATAACTTTGAACAACGTGGGAAAACTGAAGCAACTGAAATCAAGACTGACTGAGGCAATGGCTAGAAAAAGCGCTTTGCTTTGATAACCTCTGGCAGCCACGTCTGTGAGTCAGTCTGTCACTGAGAAATACTCCTCCGGGAATGGACACTCCGAGGGGAGGAAAGCCCTTTGGAAACGAGATGGCTACTGCTTCATCAAGCCAAGAGGCTGAAGTGGATCTGGAAACTCTGGTGGTGGCCATGGAAATCATTTTCGTGGTAGTTACAACACTGGTCATGGAGGAAAATTCAGTGGTCATGGTGACTTTTACAGTAGCCATGGTGGTGGCAAATATTGTGGTAGTGGGGATATCTATATGGATCTGGTAAAGACAGAAGCAATTCTGGAGGTAGTGGGAGCGACAATGATTTTGGCAAATGCAACAATCAATCTTCAAATTTGGGATCTAAGAAGGGAGGAAACTTTGTCATTTTGAAAAAGGTCTCCCAGACACTTTTTTAAAAATATTTTTTATACCTTTATTTTATTTATTTTTATGTGGTGCTGAGGATCACACCTAGTGCCTTACACGTGCTAGGTGAGCATTCTACCACTGAGCCACAACCCCAGCCCTCTCCCAGACACTTCAGATCTGGGGACCTATGGAGTGGCATCAGCCAGCTGCTGTTTCTACTCCTGGCAGGGCGTAGAACTTGCACTGTGATAGAAACATTCAATATTATCACCCATTGTAACAGTCAATACTTTGTCAAACCATAAACCCAAGGTGGCCATGAGGTTCCAGCAGCAGCAGGAGCTGTGGTGGTGACAGAATATTTTACTGCCTGCCAGAAAACAAAGCTTAGTAGGACAGGAGAGCCAGAGAAGGGACAGGGAAGCTGCAGGTTACAGCAGATCTGTGAACTCAAGTAAAGCACAGTGCTGGCAGGGCCTAGTTACTACAAAGATATGTTTAGATAATCCTCATGTATAGGGAAAAAAACCTGAGAACTCTGTAACAGGTTATTTTAGTTTCTGTTTTATGGAAAATGTGAAGCATTCCAACCCAGGGTTTTAATGTAGCTTTTCTTTTTCGTTGTATCCACGCTGACTGCTAAATGTAATGAGTGTGTCTTTTAACTGCACTGTGTAAAGTTAGTCTACTTTGAAGCTGTCTTGGTAAACTTCCCCAACAGTGTGAAATAAGAATTCCTTCAGGGTGATGCCAGATTTCATTTAAAATTAATTTACAATCTGCTTGGTGGAGAAGTCACTGCCTCTAGAAATCTTGGTGTAGTTGAACTGATAGTAACTGTTGGGACATTCTGCAGTTCACCAGTGTAAGGGTCACCCAAGCAAAATCAGAGAATTATTTGGTGGTAAAAAGAATTGTGGGCACATCCTATGCAATATATCTAAATTAAATAATGGCACTAGATAAGTGACTCATGGGAATGATGCTTTTGTCTCCTCCGTTATAATGTATAATCAACAAATAATTTAAGTCTCTTGAATGAAATGACAACATTTGGAACTGGAAGAGATTTGGACTTTCCTTACCCCCTATCCAGATAATGCTGAATGCTTCTATCACAATGCAAGTTCAAAGCTTTGCCAGAGTAGAAACCAGTAGCAGTCTGATGACCCCTCACAGGTCTAAAGATTAGAAGCATCTGAGAGACCTTTTTTAAAATGACAAGTACTAGAAAAAATTCAACTAACATAAAAATAGGCTTACCATAAAGGAAAACTACAGTTTTTACTGGGTAAGGTTAGGTGGGTCTTTAGAGGTTTATAGGTCAGCCACAGTAGTTATTTGGAGATTAAAACTATAGAAATATGAGGAACTACATTTTTTCCACATAATTTCATGTTACCTGCAGTTTTCCTTTAAATATGGCACAAGATCACACAATCATCCTCAAGTGTCAATTGTACAGAGAATGACCTTTAAAAGAGTTAATAACCCTTAACAGTTAATATCCAATAATTGTTACTTGTACATATTCTTTTGAGATTTCCCTTTGGTACCTTCCTAATTTCAGTGCCACTGTATCTAGTAGCATAGATATTTATCTCCCAAAAAACAAGAGAAAAGAAAAAATATATAAATTGTGGAGAATGGAGTCATCTTTTGGTGCAAAAAAGTATAATATTTAGAAATGATAAAAAATAGATTCCACTTTCTACAATAATTTCACACTTGCCCCTGGATATTCCAATGTGTTTGCCGATTGGCAGAGAATGGTACATAGGAGCCTGCTGCAGCCTATCATACTCCTGCTTCGGTCTGTCCACTCTGAAGCCATCTTGCTAAACTTACATGTTTGTGATGTTGAGACAAAAAATGTTATATTTGCTGCTGTCTTGTAATCTGTCAGGCAAATCATGAATAAATCTATAGGAGACTAGGCTTTTCTCAATTTAGGATGGCATTTGATTTGAACAGAAGAGATCATGGCATAAAATTCTGGAGAGTGAGGATGAGAAGAGTGCAGGACAGGTTTAATAAGATGGATCTGCCTCATGGTACATGATAAGTAAACAGATGGTGTAGATTTTCTAAGGTAAACTTAGAAAAGGTAAATTATTTACCTTATCGAGACTGCCTCCATATACTTCATCTGTGCTGACGTAAATAAACTTCTCCACTTTGGCTTCATGAGCAGCACTTACCAAAACGTGAGTGCCATAAACATTAACGTAGGTAAACTCAAAGGCCCGGACAAATGACAAATCTAAAAGAAGAGAAAAAAAACTAGAACAATTTCACCCAAGGACAAAACAAATACCAAACAATCAATTCCAATTTGTTTGTTTTTTTTAATTTTTAAATTTTAGTTGTAGATGAACACAAACTTTTATTTTACTTATTTATTTTTATGAAATGCTGAGGATGGAACCCAGTGTTTCACACATGCTAGGCAAGCCCTCTACCACTGAGCTACATCCCTAGTCCCTCAATTCTAGTTTTAAGAGAGTACTATTCCCTTCTCTTTACTCATCATAATTAAATAATTTTGGAAATAACATATATATGCATTGATATTTATTTCTGTAAGTCTATATTATATAGTATGTATAATTTTTTTTTAGAACCTAGAAAAAAATCTGTTAAATTTTCAAAAAAACATTTTATCCTAAAAAGAAGGAAACACAAAATGATGCATCTAAATTTAAAAATTCAAGTATTCAAATTTTTAAAATTTTTGAAACTTCCAGTTTCTACAATTTGAGGGCTATGCATTTCAGAGCAACTTATTACTGATAAAAACAATAAATGTTGAATAAAACAATAAATGTTGAATAAATCATCTGCTTTACCAGGGAATGGGGTAACTTCCCTAACTATGACTCACAATTCACAAACAATAAGGGAAGAGATTAATAAATTTTACCTTGTAAAAAATCTTTCATTGTCAACCCCTGCCCCCCTCCAAAAAAAAAAAAAACTAGACTAAAAACAAAATAAAAAAGACAAACTTGGAAAAACATTTGAAATTACTAGAGACAAAACATTAATATATTCAACCTATAAATACCTTGTAGAACTAAATAAAAATAATCCTACAGTAAAATGGATACAAAATAGTTTAGATATAAAAATATAAATAGTCCTTAAGTTTATGATACTCGACCTCATTTATAATAAGGAAAACCCAAGTTTCAAACTCACAGAATGCCACTTACAACTTATCACAATGACAAAAAATCAAAGATTTGACAAAATGTTTTGTTGCTGAGGCTTTGTGGCATGTGGGGGAGACTTAATTCTGCACACTGGGAATGAGTATGCAAAATGCTTACAACCCTAAGGAAGGAAATTTGGCAATTTCTAACCAAATTAATATGCATTTATCCCCCAACCCAAAGATATAAACTGAACTGTTACATAAAATGTATAGTGACACCTGACCTCCCTATACCTGGCCAGTATTTCAGAATGTGAGTATATTTGGAGTTAGGGCCCTTAAAGATGTGATTAAGTTAAAATGAGGCCTTGAAGGTGAACCCCAATCCAATCTACCTAGTGTAGAGGAATCTGGACCTAAAAAGAGATGCCAGGAATGCACACAGAGGAAAGGTCCTGTGAGCACAGAGTAAATGCAAAGGAGCTGTAAGCCCAACAGGTGGCCTCAGAGGAAATCAAGCCTGGCAACACCTTGACCTTGGACTCCCAGGCCCCAGAATGGGGACAAATAAATTTGTTCTCTAAGCCCTCAGTCTGTGGTACTTTGTTCTGGCAATTCTAGAAGATTAATGCTCCCAGCAGTTCAACTTCTAAGCATATCTTCCCAACATCAGTTAAAAATATACAAAAAGACACAGGTACAAAGCCATCTACTCCAGCATTATTTAAAACAGTGGGAAGTAAACTTAACCACTGTACATATAGACTGATGTCCTAGATATACTGTCAAATAAAAAAGGCAAGAGGGAGAGAGCTATATGTTAGAGATTATCACTTCTCTAAAAGGAGCACAGAATATCAATTCTTTTAAAAGAAAGAATAAACTAAAATGTATAAAAAGTGTTCTACAGGGGAGAGTTGAACATAGAAGAAGAGCAGGGACCAAAGACAGACTTATAAATATTCCTTATATGGTAGATTTGACTTTGGAACTATTTTATATTTTTAATAACTGAAAAACAATTAAAAAGAAAGTAATTCTAAAACTCAAAAACAAGATGGAAAATATGAATCAAACAATGAATTTACTTAGTTACATAACCATGCTTTGAGTAACCTATAAAACAAAATAGTGGGAAACTACTAAGAACAAAAGAAAACAAAACAAAAAAAACCTTTGTCATTGCAGATAATGGTGCTATTGTTATTCTTATATTGTTGTGTTATGGGATTTTAAAAAAATGACAAATGAATGCAGTGGTAGACAGCTGCACTCCCAGAAACTCTGGAGGCTGAGGCAGGAGGATTGCAAATTGAAGACCAGCTTCAGCAACTTAATGAGATCCTGCTTCAAAATATAAAATAAAAATGGCCTGGGATATAGCTTAGGGATAAGCATCCCTAGGTTCAATCCCCAGTACCAAGAAATGGGAAATAGAAAAGAAAATGAGAAATTATTGTGGTGCTAATGAGAACCAAGGTATTCAGGATAAGGGAAAGAAAATATAAGACCCATGGGGTTAATAACAACTTTGAGTTAGGCACTCATGCGTTGTGAACTCATGATGTATTTTATCTTAAATAGGCAAATAAATAAATATTCCTTAGCTCTGAAGTTGACTGAAAAAGCCTAGAAACAATGTCCAATTGGTAACAGTGAACATACCCAGACTGAGACCTGTAACTACTATTTCCCACTAAAAGGAACCTCAGTCCTTAGAAGAAGGGTTGTTTCCGGATCCTTAGAAGAAACCTTGAAGATAAACCTAGAACATCCTGCTACACCAGAGAATAAGATGGCAACAAAGACTACTAAGGGCCCAGGAAGCAACTCTGGCTCTCTGTGGCTAGTAGTGGGTCAATTTGAATATAAACTGAAACTGATTAAGACAAACAAAGAATCAAATGTGTTCAACTCTATGAATTCATAATTATACAAGAAAAAAGAAAAAAAAACAAAAAGAAAAGAAAAGAAAAAAGAAAGTAAGAGAGTGGTAGAAAACCAAGTCAAATAAAGCTTACCACATAAACAAAAAGTATCAAGCAGTTAACCTGGCTTTTCAGTATCACTTAAATCATCCTAATAATTTATGTGGAAAACCTACTTGTACGTAGATATTCCATATATAATGAAAAATAAATTACATAATTTGAATATTATCTACAAGCCTCTAAAAATGAATATTGATAAAACAAAATAGTAATACTGACTACACAAAATAGTAGGAATAAATATGTAATGGGATTGAAAAACAAAATAAGATAGACTTAAAATTCTAGATAAATACAGTTGGGAATAAATAAATGGTGTTAAAATGCATTACCTGGGAGGAGGGCAAAGGTTTTATGGACTTTACACTTGAATAAGCTAATTATTCATGTGTAATTCCTAAGGTAACCACTCAAAGAATACAAAGAATATATATCTTCCAAAGTAGAGGGAGAAAAAGAGAACAATTTCTTAGTTAAGTCCTTTAAAAAGCAAGCAAGAGAATGAATATCAAGGATGTTCAAAGTAATTAAAATAAAAACCATGATCCAAATACACATTGTTTTTAAGAAACAGATAAGCCATAAAGCCAGAAGGGTTGAAAAAAGAGAATGGAGAGGCTGGGGATGTGGCTCAAGCAGTAGCGCGCTCGCCTGGCGTGCGTGCGAGCATGCGACCTGGGTTCGATCCTCAGCACCACACACAAACAAAGATGTTGTGTCTGCCGAAAACTAAAAAATAAATATTAAAATTCTCTCTCTCTCTATTCTAAAAAAAAAGCTTCCAATTATTAAAAAAAAAAGAGAGAATGGAAAAAGACATGTGATGTATAACTATAATGCACTAATAAAAAAAGATACACAAGAAAGTGACACAGTCACATCAATGTCAAATGAAATGGACTTCAAAGTGTATACATCATCTAAGAAAATGACTTCCTAAATAAATGGTTCAGGGGCAGGGGTGTAGCTCAGTGGTAGAGCACCTGCCTCACATGTGAGGCACTGCATTCGATCCTCAGCACCATATAAAAATAAATAAATAAAGATATTGTGTCCATCTACAACTAAAAGAAATATATTTAAAAAAAAAAGATAAATGGTTCAACCACCCAAAATGATTACTAATTCTGGAAACATCTCTTTCAATGAGGAAAAAGATAAATCACAAAATTAAAAACTGGACAAAAGATTTCAACAGCATTTCACAGAAGAAATCCTAATTACCAAAAAACATAAAAAATACTCAAATTTATTAGCAATTAGGGAAAATACAAATTTAAAATATAATAAAAGACAAATCACACATTGCTGAGATTGGAAATAATGGAAAAATCTGACAAAACTAAGTTTTGGTGAGATCTAGAGCAACAGGAAGTTACATATTACTGGAGGAGTAGAAATTAATATACTCTGGAAAATAGTTTGATATCTTTATGTTGAAACAGACAAATCTTATGATCCTAATTATGTATCAGAATGTGTACATATGTGTACCATGACACATGCGTAAGAATGCTCACAGTAGTACTGTTCAAAATTGCCCTAAAGCATAAACAACTCAAATTTCCGTCAGGAGTGAAATATCTAAGTAAACTGTGCCAATTCTTAAATTAGAATGTTATACAGTACTGAAAACGAACAAACTGTACCTATACCCAAATGGATAGATGAATCTAAATGGATTTTTAAAAAGAAAGACAAAAAAATCTACATATCACCTTATATGTTTTTTAAATAAAATTTAAAAAGCCAAAACTTATAATGCTTAGGGAAAATAATATAAATAGAAAAACTACAGAGAAAAGCAATGGAAATAAATCAGACAGCAGGCAATAGCAGTGCACTTCCAAAGAGGATCTGACAACACTCTGATTTTTGTTTGGATGATGGCTATATGGGTGTTCACATTACCATTATTTATTTCACTTCTAAATTCTTTTGAATATATGTTGTATTCGCTATAACAATATCAGAAAATTATTAGAAAATATCTCAAATGCATAAAACAGTACAAATAACAACATAATATTCATTGTGTATCTACCACCCAATTTAAGAAAAACAACATAAAAATTACAGCTGAAGACCCATTTCCTCATTCCTACCTTTCACAAATAATTACTAGTTTGAATTTGGTTCGACTCAAAAGTTTTAAGATCTATTCAGGGTTATATTTCAACCCACACTAATAAAAGTGATCTAAAAAGTGCCAAGTATATCAATGACAGAGCAAATGTCTTGTTTTTATGGTGTAGCATGTATATCTTCTTTCAAAGATGTGTATTAGATAACCATTTATTTAGTTTTACTTCTGGACTTTGGATTTAGTCTAGTTAGCCACAAGAGGAAAAAGAAATGCCAGTCACAACTAGAGCATAAGACAACGCTTACCTACATGTGTTTGTGCAGCAAAATGTAGTACTATATCTATTTTCTCTGTTTCAAAAAGCAGTTTCACAAAATGAGAATCACAAATGTCACCCTATATGAGAAAGCAAACATGAAAACACTAGGTTTCTCTGAACACTGTCATCATCAAAACCATTTTTGCTATAACACACACCATCTCCCACTTCCCAGTTCAATAGAGAATATCTTGAACATTCAACCACATGGTCAGACAAGTACAGTAATGATGTATTTCTCCAGATATTCGATTCAAAGCATTTTTTGCAAATAAGTATAAAACAATATTTTATTGACCACCCAAATACTTTTACATTTTTTCATTATATTCTTGACAACCTAAGATTAGTATATTAAAAAGGAAAATAGTATTAAAAATTCTGAAAGAACCATTACTGAAATATGTCTAAAGTAAGTATAACAACTGGAATGAACATTGGAAAATTATAGTAAAGTTATGGTTTAATTATTCTAAAAATACATATTCTCAAAAAACCTTTAGTAACTGAAGAAAATACTTTTACACAGAACAGAATTATGAACTAATTGCTCAGTATATTTTTGTGGTTTTGTGGTTAAAAGAGAGTTTGTAAAATCACTTTTTTTTAAAAAATTTAACTTTTAGTTGTAGTTGGACACAATATCTTTATTTATTTATTTTATGTGGTACTGAGGATCGAACCCAGGGCCTCGCCCATGCTAGGTGAGCGCTCTATCCTGAGCCACAACCTCAGCCCCTGTAAAATCATTTTTAAAAGAAAAGAACATAAAATCACAACATAGTTTCATTGGAAAGTAACATTTCCCTTTGCAAATGAAGGATCTGCTCTGGTTTATACTTGGGACTTGTCTAAGAGTGGTGAGTTAAGAATCAGCCTTCTAGAGGCCATGTGCCCTCATGGGGAGAGACTATCCCATGTGCTTCATGGTCTGGCTAGCCTTTCAGGAGGACACCACACTTCACACCAACCACTCTGAATCCCAGGTAGGCACTATTAAACAGGCTAGTGAGGACTTAAAATTAAAAACCACACAAATTCATCCAGCTACTCATAGATTTTCTAAGGTATCAAAAATGACATGCAATTTTTTATGTGGTATATCTAAAAGTAGAATTCTCTAGAGCATGTGGTACTTCTGGAAATTAACTATTTGGTCTTTTAAAAGGCCTTTAGTAAGTGTGCCTGCCAAGCCCTTTACACACAAGTTTGTAAGTAGGAAGTTATTATAATCTCAATATGACTAAAGAGGCACAGTTCAATAATTATAAGAAGACTTCCATACCTTTATGAATTTGTAGTTTTGTTTGTTAGAAATGGTTTCAAGATTCTTTAAGCTTGCACAGTAATCCAGCTTAAAAAGAGAGGATGGCCAGGGGCAACACAAAAAGTGATAATATTAGCTCTTCCTATAAAATACCAAATTATTTTTAAAACTATAGATGTCAATGATTGTAATACAAGAACATATTCTCTTCAAGTGTGTTTCCTCTGTGCTTTTACACATTCTAAGCTTCTGACATACATTGATCGAGGTGCTAGAGAACGAAATCCTACGCCTTATGCATGCTAGGCAAGCACTTTACAACTAAGCTATATCCCCATCCCAGCTTCTGACATCTTACAAGTAAAAACTAAACAAAAAACAAACAAACAAAAACAAGTAATTGTGATACCTTTTCAAAATACCAGACTCCAAAAAAAAGCCTTTTTATAAATGTGTACTTTAAAATATGTTCCTACCCAAATTTGCCTGTGGCCACTGGTATTTAAAAAAGTTTACTACTCCTGACAGAAAAGTTACTAGTAATCAAAAATGATGCCTGTTTTATACATACTACAGTTCATTATACCTGGTCCTGAGTTCCTGAGTTAACTGTTGGTAAATCTCAGTGTACAGATGAGGAAAAAAAGAATTCTTGTTCACTAGTAATGCAGTAAAAAAAAGCCTAAGAGTTAAGGGTTATTCTTTATCTGTACTTCTTAACTATTGTGTTTTAGGAAATTAAGGTAACCATTTGTATCTGTGCCATTTGTATTTGCTCAGATTCAAAAAATCTATGATTTCCAACTAGGGCTTCAGATTCTTTAAGGAAACTCCAATTATTACTGCAGAATTCTCAACAAAATCAAATTAATTTAACTGAATTTTATTTTGTAAAATAAACATGTACAATTTTCTAGGTGATGATAATTATAAAACCAAATAGTTAATTAAATCAAATAAAGCATGTCAACACCAAGAAAAAACTGGTAGTCACATTTTACGAAATACTTAATTTAGAAAGAGTGAAGGTTTTCTTCTGGCAAAAATACTGCACATAAGGGCTGAGAATGTGGCTCAGTGATAGAGCACTTGCCTAGCATGCATGGGGTCCTTGGGTTTGATCCCAAGTACAAAAAAAAAAAAAACACAAAACTTTGACTTTATGCCTTAGCATAATAAGTAAAAGTTTCCAAACATTCTGCATAAGATTTAACGCAGCATGAGCACATGACCATACAGACCCCCAAGCAGCTAAAGACTAAATAAAAAACTAACAGGATTCTGGTACTTTAAATTGAAATGTAATTTCAGTGCATGAAGCTTATTTTTATGAAACTCACCTTGTCTAGATTTATGATCATGTAATTTGGATAATCTTCTACTAAAGAGACAATCACATGTGATGCACTATAAGGAAAAAAAACATCTTCTGAGTGGAAAATGTCAACCCCTTTAGACTCTTGAATATTTTCTTATGCTGTTGACTATTATGAAAATAATCAAAGATAACTTTAAATGTTTCCAAGAAAACAGAAACAACACCATTATACACACATGCACACTTTTCACCAACAACATCTATAAACTAAATCTTATGCTCCCTTTATGCTATGTAGAATAGAGAATTTAGTGTTTCTGGATATAAAGAAAAAAAATCAGTTCAACAAATTATACTGTCCATGCATCTTTTAGAGTGTGAATGAAATGCTGGATGAAAAACATAATGGTGCTACTCAGAGCGACTACACTGAAATTATAATGTGCCTATTCAGGAACTGTAGATGTGATTACATAAAAACTAAATCAATATGAGCAGTCATTTGTCTGTTTACAGTAACTTCTGCAATTCCTGTGTCTTGGTACAAGAGTTTGGTGTTATAAACCAAAATTCTCAAGGGGGTCCCTGAAAAAATGTAGGTTTCCCAGGTTAATAACAGTTGAAACCAACCCCTGTTTGCCTCTGGGCTTCAGAGGGGCCCTGCAGTAGAACCTGAGCATATTTCAGTGGAAGATCTACCCAATTTTATAATACTTAAAATGCTGGGGCCCCCGGAACAGCGGCAAGCATTGACCAGATTATAAAATCAAGATGTGCACTGGTAGTTCTTTCACAGCATTTTCTAGGTCATACCATTCCTGGACCAGCACTCTCACATGTTCATACTCTTCTCATAAGTGAAACTTGCATGCCTGGTACTCTCCACCAAGTGACCATCAGATTAGAAGGGATGATTAATGTGCTAATAGGCAATAAATAAGAATCAATCCCCATATTTCCGCTTCTTCCACTAGACACTGAGTTTCTTGAGGGTAGGAGTTTCTTGTTCATTATTCTTGCATTCATCCATTCAACAATCACTGAAGACCTTCAGAAAATGGGTCACATATTCTGCCAAGTGCTTAGTGAACAGTAGTCTCTACCCTCATGGAGTTTACATTCTAGAATGGGGATGCAGGCAATAATCAAGGAAACACAAATATGCAATATAATATCAGGCAGGATAAGTATGTTAGTTGGGAAAAGGGTTATTTTAGATAGTGTGGTCAGGCAAGAACTCTTTGAGGAAGTGATATCCAAGTAAAAACGCAAATTGAGTGATACAGGCAGCTGAAATGAAGGAGAAGCAAGTGCAAACGCCTCAAGACAGAAGGGGGCACCAGCCTGGTGTGCTCCAAGAATCATAAGAGGGTAAGCATGCCAGGAATAGAAAAGCAAGAGATCAGGTTGGAAAAGTAAGGCTTGGCCAAATAAGCTTGTAGATATGGTAATAAGTTTTTACTTTAAAGTGGGCAGGAACCGTTGGAGTAAAATTCTATGCACTAACATGATCTGACTTAGTGAAACACTGACCTCTGCGTGAGGAACACTCTAAGGAAACAAGAGAGGAAGCAGTATAACCAATCAAGAGGCTACAACAGTAGTCTAGGCAAGGGGGGGGGGCGGGGGGCGGGTAATGAGGACTAGGATGGAAGGCGGGGAGTGTGAGAAGTGGTCACATCAGAGGACACACTTTGGAATTAGGAGAAAGGACCTGATCAAACATCTAGTGCTGGTCAGCAGCAACCAAGGATTTTTAGAAGTTTGCACAATAAATAAGTCCTAGCATAATCCCCAATCATTTTGGAGGCGCCTATACGTAAAGGCCTGTACTTCGTGGTGATGGAAGTTGGGGTCAGGCTGGGGGGGCGCATGGGAAGCCGTGGGCGACAGCTTAACTAACTTGTGCACACTTCAGGCAGTGACAGGAGGTACATCTCAGGCAAGGCAGAAGCGGGGACATTACTACAATACTCTTGCTTTGGGAGGCAGGCGTTTGGTAGAAGTCACAGTTTCAAAAGACCCACGTCTTCACAGGCCAGGGAAAGAGGAAAGGGTAGGATGCTCCCGGAGGTGTATTAGGACCCTCCCTATAGGAGACCCACCCAAAGCTGGGCTCAAATTGCCAACGGCAAGCAGAGTCGCAGGAAAAGGTTGGGGTTTCCGGGGAGAAACTGACGGCGCTGTTACCTACATGAAACCAGCACCCCCGGTCACCAGGACCCGCTTCGCAAAGCTGCCGGGAGCACCCTGGGATTCCGCCCAGCCCTTCGCCGACATCTCCCAGCGCGGCAGAGCCTAGCACCGTAAAGCGCCGGGGTCTGAAGACCAGAGGAAAGTATCACCGCGACTTTTTGCGACACACCTAGTTCCACTGACACGTTTCAGAGAAGTCGGCGCAGCTTCCGGAGCGGCTGCGCAGGGCTACCGCGCAGGCGCAGGTCCTCTGGGCCAAAGCCAGACCTAATGCGAGTAATTGAGGGAGTTGGGGCAGAGCAGTGTGTCTGGAACCTCTTCCAGGCAACTGTTGCTAGCCCGAGTTATGCTTTACTTAAAACACGGAAGTTCAGAGTTTTGAAGAAGTGCCTTCTTTTAGCTCTTGCACTTCACCCATCATCAGAGATTACGCACCAGTTAAGCTGAGAACTCCAGAGTTCTCTTTTTGCAATGTGGAAATAGGAGGTTGCAACTGCAAATTTATTTTTTATCGTTATTATTAATAAGATAGATAGGAGACTACTTGCAATCATGATAAAGATGTTCCCTAGGCCTTACTCTTAGGTATTATCCTAATATTCTCCCCTCTTGCTTACTCCACCCCAGCCTGAATGCACTTTCCTCCAATCTGTGCCTAGTTTTTATTTCTTTATTTCTTAGCTCGAATGTCATCCTATTAGAGTCCTTTTCCTGACCACCGCAATTAAAATAGCAAGCTCTATCCTAGCCCTATAGAATCATCTTACTCTTTGTTTTATTTTATTTATTTTTAAAATTTTGATTTGTTATATATGACACCAGAATGCATTACAACTTATATTACATGTACAGAGCACAATTTTTCATATCTCTGGTTGTACACAAAGTAGAGTCACATCCTTCCTGTTGTCTTATGTGTATTTAGGGTAATGATGACCATCGGTCTTTCCTGCCCCTGTGCCCACTCTCTTCCCTTCCCTCCCCTCCCCTTTTCCCCTTTGCCCTATTTAGAGTTCATTTAATCCTCCCATTCCGCCCGCCCCCTCAGGCCAGCATACTATGGATCAGCATCCTTAAATAAGAAAAATCATTTGGCATTTGGTTTTTTGGGATTGGTTAATTTCACTTATCATTATCTTCTCCAACGCCATCCATTTACCTGCAAGTGCCATGATTTTATTCTCTTTTATTGCGGAATAATATTCCATTGTGTATATATACCACATTTTCTTTATCCATTCATCTACTGAAGGGCATCTAAGTTGGTTCCACAGTTTAGCTATTGTGAGTTGTGCTGCTATAGCACTCATCAACACATACTTCGATGAATTGTTCATTGCTTCTTCTCCACGAGGGTAGGGCCTTTTTGTTTACTGTGATAATTCCACATCTCTAGGACCAGGCCTGACATAAAATAAACAATTAGTAAATATTGTCAAATAGGAAATGTCTTTTTTTTTTTCCCCTACATGGTATTTTAGCAAAGACAACAACAGCAACAAAAGAACATTCACTGTCTATGGAAGTGTTATTTGCTACAAACTTTTCGTTTTGAGGGCAAAGTGGTAATATAAATGAAAATCTAAAGTGTACATAGTCTGTGCCCCCCAAATTTCATGATGTATAATATAGATAATTGTTCATTGCTGTATTGTTTAATAAGGAAAAAATGGACACAATCTGTAAGATTGCCTAACTTTTTAAATACAATGGACTGTTACATAGACTTTAAAAAGATTGTACTATCATGGAATGTATGATATAATTGAAAATGTTGACCAAAATATATTGAAGTGAATACTTATAGTTTTTTTTTTTTCCTGAACTAAATACCTTGCCCTTTATGATTTCCACAAGTTGATCCACTGCCAAAGGATGGGGATCTGACTCATCTTAGGCCAATTGAAGCCTCTTCCTGGGATGTCACATTGGACTAAGGTTCTACCATAGTCTGGTTGTTCATGAATTCTGAGGACCTACAAATTTGGGACTTATTAGTGGCCATATTCTTTCAAATGAACTGAGGAACCAGAAAACCTGCCTTCAGTGGGAGAGAAAAAACAAAGCTGATCAAGAAGGGAAGAAAATAAGATACAAAAAGAGAAGTCCCCCAGGGTTGGGGTTGTGGCTCAGCTGTGGAGCACTCGCCTAGCACATTCGGGGCCCTGGGTTCTATCCTCAGCACCACATGAGGATAAATAAAATAAAGGTGTTGTGTCCAACTATAACTAAATTAAGAGAGAGAGAGAAAGTCCCCCAGCATTCAAGGCCTAGGTTCGGCTTCTCCTTTGGCACCAATTGTATCCCTGTCTTTGACTTACAAGTTTCACTATTAAAAGACAATTCAGACAAATTTAGCAGCGTATATTTGAACAGAGAATGATTCATGAGTTGGGCAGACTCAGAAGAAAGAAAGGTTCAGAGAGTTTAGCTCTACCCAGCAACCTGGGCAGGAAATATTTATAGAAGAAGTATGCAAAGGAAGGCTGGGGATGTGGCTCAAGCGGTAGCGTGCTCGCCTGGCATGCTTGCTGCCATGTTCGATCCTCAGCACCACATACAAACAAAGATGTTGTGTCTGCCAAAAACTAAAAAAAAAAAAAAAAAAATTACAAAAATGCTCTCTCTTTAAAAAAAAATATGCAAAGGAGAAGGAAGTGACATTCAGAAACAGCTTAATTGGTTACATCTCCAATTTTGCCTTATCAGGACTTGATATGACAACACATCTGCCAGATATGGTTGTCTTCTGATCAGTTGGCAGCCTGCGTTTGGCTGAATCCCCCCTGCAATAATTGGCTGAGACTCAGTTACTTGTTAGAAGACTATACTTCTGCTTAAGTTGCTGTTCATTTATATACTAAATTAAGTTGCAATTCTCCATGTATTAACTCGAAGTATTGAAGGTAGCTTCAGGTCTAATTTAATTTAATTTAACACCATATTATTTGTAACAACTGGTCTAAAAGGATCCACCCCAAACTACTAACAAGGGTAATCTTTAGGTATTAGATATGGAAGGGGAAAGGAGGAAATAGAAAGTTTAAGTTTTACTTTAATTTTACCGTGAATTTTTTCTAAGCTGCATGAATTTCTTTTATAATAAAAAAGAACTAGTGCAGTTTTTAAAATACCCAAATATTAATACCTCCAGTTTGTTCCTGGTCAGCCAGAGATACTGAAAATGCTATGTATACCATAGTAGGTATTACCCTAGTTTCTTTTCTAAATTGTGAGATGTGTTGTGAGAACTTGCTTATACATTTTTAAAGTGTGTTTTGGAATGAGAATAATTTATATGCACTTATTCATGAAACAATTTTTGAGTTCCTACTTTCATTAAGACAGGAATAGTCTCTGACCCACTGGACCTAATAATGTAGTGAGGGAGTCAGATAAGTCAAGTCATACACCATATAGTAGAGTAATTTCCCTGATAAGGAAGTGAGGGATTTCAGACCCAGGGGCATCTAACACAGAGGCTTCCTAAACTGACAGGGTTGGGGGGTGAAGGGGATATAGCAGGTGATATAGGGTTGAGTAGTAGGATCAGCAGAATTATTCCAGTCAAAGGGATTTGCAAATGACAAAGGCCTAGAGGGGAGAAATTGGGGTGTTTGTAGACTGACAATCATAGGGATGGAGATCAGTAGAGAGACTAAAATTTGAGTGACTAGAGAGCCATATTCTAAAGAGTTTGGGTTGTGTACTAAAGGCAGCTGAGAGCCTTTGAAGAAAGTGGTTCAATCATTATTGTTTCCTAAAGTTTTCTGTGGTTCTAAGGAAGAGGTGGACTGTAGCCTGTTAGAGAAGAGTGGAGGAAGGTCCGCTGCCATAGGCTGCTGCTTCCTACTATCACCAGAAGAGATTTGCAATTGAATTGATGGGATATGAGGGAGTAAAGAGAGCTCCATTTCCCAACTCTCTGGCATGCTAAGTGATGATATAATTAAAGAGGAAACCTAGGGATGAAAAATCAGTTGGGTGCCAGACTCATGTTTTATACTTTAGACATGTAAGTGTCTTTGAAACATTAAAGTGGACATGCTCAATAAATTATATAGGCATGGAGGAAAAAAAGAACATGGTTCCAAATATAAGGGAATTTTCTTTTTTTGACCGGAATGCTCTTGTCGTGTTTTATTAGCAATTTCCTAATCCCATGAGCCGCTCCAAGGTGCCTTCGACCTGCGCAGCGCGCGCATGCGCATTGACACCATCCGCTGGGGCACCGAGGGCAAAAGCTTTCAGTAACCCGAAGCAACATCCTCCAAATTCTCCATTAAAAAAAGGCGGGAACTAGCCAAAAGCCTGGGGAGTGATGGGACGCGCGGATCTGCACGCCCTTCCACTTCTGCCTCTGATTGGTGAATATGCTTGGCTCGTGGCGAAAACCTCACCTCATTGGCTGTTGGTCTCCAGAGGGGCGGGCTCGCTGCGCTGGCCCCACCCATCCTCCGGCTGCCGACGTGGGGCTGACGGCCGCAGGCGGTAGGGCCCCGGGTGCGGGTGCCGAACAGGAGGCAAGGATGGGGGGGTTGCGGCTGCTGGCAGTGGCCCTGACGTGCTGCTGGTGGCCGCAGGGCAGCCAGGGTAAAACCCTGCGGGGCAGCTTCAGCAGCGCCGCGGCCCGAGACACTCGGGGCCAGAGCATCGGCCACTTCGAGTTCCACGGTAGGTCCCGGGGGCGGGGAGAGGGATGGAGGCGCGCGGGCCATCGCTCCAGCAGGGCCCGCAGACCGCTCCTCCCCGCCTCCGGGGGTAGGCCGAGGGCGGGCGGCACCCAGCCCCTCCCTGCCACGTCGGGCCAGCCGGGCGACTTCGCCAGCCTCACCTGCACTTCACGGTCGCCTCGGCCCTGCCCCCTTCGCAACTAGCCGGGATCGCGGCAGGCGTTGGCAGCCCCGCAGTTGCTGTCCCAAGCTTGTCTGCAGCCTCTGACGAATAGAGGTTGTGTTCTGCACCTGAAAGCCCGTGTCCATTTCCCAGCCCTCCCCTTGCAAAAGAATACACAAATGACTGATCTGATCGCTGCATCTTTTTGAGATCCTTCCCCTAAACAAGCATCTTTTGTCCATTCCCGACTGGGCCTGATTACATTCATTTGGGCCTTATTAAGGGTGAATGTAAGCCCAGGAACTTAGATTTCTTTTTTTTTTTTTTTCCTTTATTCTTTTATTTTTAAAGACCAGTGTGGTAAAGCCTCTTGGAGCAGAGGGGTTGTAATCTAATTACCATTACTGCCAGAACAGTTTGGTTACTTGGGTGATTTACTATGGATCTTAAGGCCTAGAGTTAATTCAATGGAAACTTCATAATGTATAGTGTCCCGGAAATTTCATTATTGATATTCTCTTTGGCCCATCTGAAATCAGAGTTGCCTTTGATTTGTACAGTCTGGTCTCCCTCAAAAATCAGTAATCATCCCTATATAATGAATGAACTTGCAGTTGACTCTAATTTTTGTTGCATTTACTTGTACCCTCAAAATTTCAGATATTTTCTTGTAACTCTATTTCTCTAGTATTGTTATTTCAAATAATTTGTCCTTGGTGAACTTATGATCTTTGGTCTAAATAACCTTTAGTTGCATTAAAAGATACAACTATGGAGATCAGAATATTGGCCTAAAAAGGATTCTTAGGAAGAAGATAATAGAAATGAAAAGTGGTTTTGGTGTGGGAAAGGAATTTAAAGTCCTGAGAGATTAAAGAATTGGTGATATAAAGGCAGGGGAACCTGACTTTTTAAAAGTCTATAGTTTTTGAACCTAGCTGAGAAAGGAAAAAATCCAATATGAATATATACCTTTGGTGAATAAAGGAGAAACCCTTTATATAGTTTTATTATTATTTTGTCAGATTTTCATTTTTTTTAACTCACTGTAACAATACTTTGAGTAATAATAGTGATAGTAATCTCACTATAATAAATGGCACAACTGAACAGTGCTGAAAAAATCTAGTGTGCGTGGATGCTGTACCAGCAGACTTACAGACTTAGAAGACAACCTGGTTTTTACCTGGTAAACATGGGAGAGAAACATATACTAAGTCTAAATTTCTCAAGACAGATTGGATATAGGGTGTTCCAAATACATTTTCTCATTCTATGTGTGTGTGTGTGTGTGTGTACACATACACATATAAAAATATGTAATTATATTCTCATATATATTTTGTTAATACCAATTTTTCAGTGAATTACACTTCAGTAAAATGATACTAAAAATATATTGAAAAAAACAGCCTATAACTCAGAATGCAATTTAAGGTGTTAACAGGGCTTTATAGTCAGTTTTATGATTTGACAATTTATAAGGTAACCAATTTATGCAAGAGACTTAGACATTCATTATGTATACTACACACAAATATATATTATAATCAAAATGATATATTGTCAAAATGATAATTCTAATAACAATTTTTTTAAGAAGATTTTAAGGTGAAAAATAGGCTCCTGCTTTACCTCTCGTCACCTAGTGTCCCCATTCTTAGAATCAACTACTTTTTGCCATTTCTGTTCCAGGTCTTCACTGTTGTTATTGTGTGCAACCAGGCTCATTCGATTATTAATGACTTAACATATATTGTTATGAAAGTTTTTTGTTTTGTAAAAGTCTGATATGTAAAATTTTGTCTTAGATGTAAAATATATACCACAAAACACATTTCTTTGAACTTTCTTGCTATTTCCTAGGCTTATTTTTTTACATTAAAAATAAATTGAAATATTAAACTCATGTTAAAAAACGAAAGAAACTTTGGCAGGAAATTTCTATTGATTATGAACAATATAAAAGATGTATAGGGATTGTAAAGTGAGGCAAAAAAAGAGTTAAAAATTGTTTTTGAAATATATGTGTTTTTAAATATAAAAAATTGTGGGTTTTTTTTAAGTGAAAGTATTTAATTGTCCTACTATCTCAGTTTCATATAAGACCAAATAAGTTGATCATTTTTGTTTTAATATTAAGGTGACCATGCTCTTCTATGTGTCAGAATCAACAACATAGCAGTAGCTATTGGAAAAGAAGCTAAACTCTACCTGTTCCAAGCCCAGGAATGGCTAAAACTGCAGGAAAGCAGTCATGGTTATAGTTGTAGTGAAAAATTATCCAGAGCTCAGTTGACAAGTGAGTATATCCTTTTTTCTTTGACCATTAGATATGTTTTTTTTTCCTTATGTTTGAAGTATATAAGATATTTCATGTTTGCCTATATCACACTGTGATAACACTTTGGTACATTTTAAGCTGAATTTTAAGGAAAATAACCTTTTCCTTGTTTAAAATATATAATGCCTCTCCCTGCCTTTAACATTCAAATTTTTTTAAAAATCCAGATAATTTATAAAGGAGTCCTTTCTTTCATTCAGACTCTTTACTATTCATATAATTTATGGTAATATGACAAATATATTTTTACCCAGTGTCAGCATGGAACCAATGATAGTATTTTTTGAATGCATATTTCTGCCAGCACTGAGCTAACACACTAACATGTATGTTAGTTAATTATAAAACTTAGCCCAAGTGATGCCGTTTTATGTCATTGACTTAGTAATATGGTGACAAAATACTTAACTTTGGGAGGTACCAGCACCAAGTCATTGTAAAACCCAGGGTTTGCCTCTGGTGAGGCTTGATTTCCCTTATCCTTATCTAGTGGCTTGAATCCTTGCTCTCATCCATTTTCCTCAACATTGTCTCGTGGTTGTGGTGATAGCCATCCAGAGCAAGTGAAAGCTTTTATAATTTAGAAATGAAGCACATGTGCCCTTCTACCCATTTTACCCCTTGGAAGTTAACTGACTGTAGGAGATGAGAAATGTGAATCATCCCTGAGAAAAAGTAGGAATTACCTTCTTCCCTCTTTATCCACCTATTATTCAGAGACTCATCCATATGTAGGGATGTGGTAGAGTCTTCTTTTTGTCTAGGCAAGTAAAACACTCCCCTTTCTAAACATCCATTCCTATTAGCCATCTGGTTCCCTCATAAGGCAGCCAGTCAGGATAGGGATAAAAGTAAAGGTCCCCAGTCTGCTATCCATTGTGGCAGTGCTATAGTCCTTTGCCTGTACTGTTGAAATTGCCTCCCACCTGGCCACTCCGCAGCCATGATGGTTCCCCTTCTGTAACCAGAGTGCTCTTTCTAAATAGCAGATTTGAACCACTTTTTTGTTTTGGGCACCGCAAAGACTTCTTTCTCTCTCTAGTAAAAATTTATCAGGCTTCCAGGAAGAGGACAAGGAGCCAGTTATGAACCATGTAATACCATGTATTTAAAGTTGAGGAACATATTATCTTGGAGTTTAGTTGAATTATGTTATTAACCATTTGGGTTTCCCTTATGCTAATAGTTTATTTATTACCCTGTCCATTTGGAATTATTTTGCTTTTTATTATTGATTAGTAAGAATTCTTCATGTATTTTTCCCAGTCTCTGGTTTCTCTTTTAATGTTGTTTATGGTATTTATTTATTGTCTGTCTGTACATAATTTAAAATTGGCTAGTTTTAAATATGGTTAAATTTAATTATTTAAAAGCTTTTTATATCTGTTTTAAGACTTTTTTTTAACCTAAAAATATAAACTAGTTATTAAAGACATTTTCCTACAATTTTTTTCCTTAAAAACAAAACAAACTTTGTTAGGCAGTTTAAAGCTTTGGGCTATAAGAATACCAATTTATTTTCTTGTTATCACATGGTCAGTATTATGCCATATATGATATACTCTTAAAAAACATCATTTTCATGATTCATATTCCTGCATTCCCAGACCTTCTATACACAGGGAGAAAGTATAGTGCAATAGGATATCCACGACACTGGGAATCCCTGCTAGTAACTTATAAAAGGGCTTGTTTTGAGCCTCACTTATGTGTTCTACAAATAAGTCAGACTGTTTCTAGGGGCCTGACCATCCTAAGATGCTGCAACTCTAAAGGTTACTCCAGGATACAGTTATATGTAGGAGTATAACTTAAGGAAGCCTTTTGCTGCTGTGTCTTTTCCTATTTTCTTTTTCTCTATTCTGTGAAGTACAAAAGTATTCTTTGTAATTATGGAACGGAAGATATCAGGAAGCAGGAATTTTAGAACAATGAAAATTGTTTTTGTTAATATTCGTGCCTGAAATAAATTAAGTACTTAATATGTATTGATATAAATAGATACAGATTTATAGATTTTATTAATTCTTTTCCCAGTAATAAAATCCAAATATTAAGAAAATCTGTCTTGAACTTTTATATAGTAGTTGTCATATTTGTAGTATATTATTATATAGATGCTTGGGTACATTGAAACCAAAGCATATTCTTAAATTTATGACACTGTAATAGTACCACATTTTTTTAAGTACCACCATTTTTAAGTAAAAATAATTCTTTTAGGAAGTGGATTTCCTATCAGTAAGACTTTTAGGAATTAATAGCCTTTCACCTATTTGGAATGAACTCATTAATGATGTCCAACTCCTATGTAAAACCTTACTGCTACTACTCACTGTGAAGAGACTAGTAGATTTGAAAAATCTCTAGTTGCTTGATTCACTCAGATTAATGTTTGAGAAATTATTTTTCAGTCTTCTTTTGTTCTTGAATTTCATAGCACATCAGATTTCTTTCTTTCTTTCTTTTGTGCGTATGTGTGAATGGTGGTAGGGATCAAATCCAGGGCCTTGTGCATACAAGGCAAGTCTCCTACACTGAGTTGTGTCTCCAGGCCAGATTTTTTTTTTTTTTAATGACAAGAACGATTTTGGTTTTAAAAGCAAGCAAACTGAACACCTACAAGCACAGAAAATGGTGAGTTTTTCTTTCTATCTAAAAGAAATCTAATGAGATTCGGGATAATTTGCTGTTAGATTATAAGAGCTAAATATATTGTATGTAAAACATTTTGATATTTTATATCTTTTTGTGTATTTGGTGTATTAAAATCATTTAAATATATTAGTATTTTATTCTGTGTATTTTGGTTAATAATATTCATTTTCTTTTATAATATGACTAGGCAATTAGCGATGCAACACCATTCACTGCAATTCAATTTTTGTTAATATTTGAGGTACTAATTATACCAGCATAGAATATGCATGCTGTGCATATTTCTGTGATCTTTTGTCTCACAAACAATAAACATACAGTTTTGTCAAGAGGCTCACTTACCAGGCTTGCTGAAACAGACAGACAAAAACTAAAGGCCAGTATCACTTTATGAAGCACATTTTTGTCTCTGTAGGTCCATGTAGTTTAAAATGAAACATCAAAAAGTATATTGATGAAAATATAATAATGAGTTTTTGTATTGTCTTATCTAAGAGAAAAAGTGCAAGTGATAGAGACACAGCAGAACCTTTATATAATGAGGTCCAGATTATATAATTGCAAGCCTCACATTTAAACAGTCTCATTCCTGAACTATTGATTGACTATATTTTTACTAAAGGTCTTCAAAAATTTAACAGAAACTAAAATCTTAGCTGCATTTTTTTAGCGACTGTATAATTTAAAAAAAGAAGTAATATAAAGTCTGCTAATCTACAGTAGCCAAAAAGGCAATGTTGTGTTGTTGTGAATCAAATCCTCTTGTTCATTTTAACTCATAATAGGTAGAATTTCCAGTTGTAAATTCAAGGTCCTTAAAATTTGAATCTTGACTAGGTACATCTGTATCTCATTTATCAAGCCATCCTATACATAACATTTCCTCAATTTTCTATTAGGAAAAATTTCCAGTGTACAGAAAAGTTCAAAGTAAAGTATGACCAACAATGTAATTTTATGCGTTAAGAATACTCTACTTTGTATAAAACCATATATCTTAATATAGGATTTTTCATGTGTCTCATTTGTCCTCAGAAGAATTCTGAGCTAGATAAGGCAGGTATCTTCCATTATACTGTTGAAGAAGCAAATTTATAAAATGTAATTTATTTACTGAATTACACAAAGCCAAGGCTTGCTCTGCTAACTCCACTGTTTGGAATAGTGTCTGGAGTTTGAGACACCACTTTCCCACAGCTTCCCCACAGCTTCAAGTAGTATTATTTAAAGCCTCTTAGGGCAGAATTACAGTCTTAGATCTGGAAAAGATCATTATTTTGTACTTCTCAAAAGAGGGTACTGTGGCATTTTAGGGAGGAACAGTTTTTTGCTATGTGACTTTACCTAGCTTACATGAGATTTAGCACAGCTTCCCTCCAAGTTTGTCACAGCTACTATGACAACAAAATTGTCCCCACACATTTTCAAAATGCCCTAAAGGGAAGCAGGATTACCCTGATTTGAGAACTGTGATTAGTATAAAACCTTGTATTAAAGAAAGAAGAAGGAAAATTAATTTGTTGAGCAACTACTTTGACAAATACCATGCTGGGTGACTCATATAAGTTAGTCCTTGCATCAGTTCTTTGCTATAGGTGTTATCTTCATTTTACAAATGAAGAAAGTGAGTGTTATTGTATATATACAGATCCGTTTGATGCCAACTTTCATGAGTTTTCCCCCACTATGTCATATTACCTTATATGGACCTGAACCAGTGTAACTTTCATCTTCTGTATTCCTTTTTTTATTGATTTTTTAAAAAAAATAAATGACAGCAGAATGCATTACAATTCTTATTACATATATACAGCACAATATTTCATATTTCTGGTTGTATACAAAGTATGTTGACACCAATTCATATCTTCATATATGTACTTTGGATGATGATGTCTATTACATCCCACCATCCTTGCTAACCCCCTTCCCCCTCCATTCCCCTCCAACCCCTCTGCCCTATCTAGAGATTGTCTATTTTTCCCATATTCCCCCTCCCTACCCCACTATGAATCAGCTTCCTTATATCAGAGAAAACATTCGGCATTTGGTTTTTTGGAATTGGCTAACTTAGCATTATCTTCTCCAATGCCATCCATTTACCTGCAAATGCCATGATTTTATTCTCTTTTATTGCCGAGTAATATTCCATTGTGTATATATGCCACACTTTTTTTATCCATTCATCTACAGAAGGGCATCTAGGTTGGCTCCACATCTTCTGTATTTCTTTTTTTCTTTTCTTTTTTTTTACTTTTAAGTGCCTTTTGATGTTTTTGTTTGTTTGTTTTGTTTTGTTTTGATATGGGTGCTAGGAATCAGTCCCAGGGCCCAAGCAAGCACTGTCTCATGGAGCTGTACCTTTAGCCCAGTACTGCTTTTAAGAATGACCAGTCAGAAAAATGTTTTGGAAAAATTTTTTGAAAAACTACTTGTCAGTCATAATTTTTAGATATCATAATGATTTTCTTAGTTAGTTGAATGCTCCATTTAAAATTTAACTCAAGTAACTTAAAAATGTCAAATGTCACAGCAGTTACTGCACAGCATTGTGAATGTGCTTATTGTCATGGACTGTTCTCTTAAAAGTGGTTAAAATGATAAAATTGTGTATCTTTTTTTCTTATCACAGTAAATTCAAAGTTTCAGTGAAACCATTTTCATTTGTGGTATTTCAGTATTTTAATAGTGATTTCTTGGTATAAAATGCATCATTTTAATCTGCTTTATACTTTACATGCCTTATTCCAGTACTACACCCAGGCCTGAGTTTTTGAGGCAAAAAAAGGATTCTAATCCCTAGATTGATTATACAACTAAAACAGTGAGCATATTTAAAAGTTTTGCTTTGGCTGCATCAATTTGCAGTCCTACCAGCAGCGTATGAGTGTACCTTTTCCCCACATCCTCACCAATTTCTTGGAAAATTGGGAATGGAACCACCATTTGACGCAGCTATCCCTATCCTCACTCCATACCCAAAGGTCTTAAAAACAGCATGCTACAGGGACACAGCCACATCAATGTTTATAGCAGCACAATTCACAATAGCTAAACTATGGAACCAACCTAGATGTCCTTCAGTAGATGAATGGATAAAAAAAATGTGGCATATATATATACATACAATGGAATATTACTCAGCAATAAAAGAGAATAAAATCATGGCATTTGCAGGTAAATGGATGGAGTTAGAGAAGATAATGGTAAGTAAAGTTAGCCAATCCCAAAAAAACAAATGCCAAATGTTTTCCTTGATATAAGGAGGCTGTTCATAGTGGGATAGGGAAAGGGAGCATGGGAGGAATAGACGAACTCTAGACAGGGCAGAGGGGTTGGAGAGGACAGGAAGGGGCATGGGGTTATTAATGATGGTGGAATGTGATGATCATTATTATCCAAAGTACATGTATAAAGACACGAATTGGTGTGAATATAATTTATATACATCCAGAGATATGAAAAATTGTGCTGTATATGTGTAATAAGAATTGTAATGCATTCCACTGTCACATATAAATAATTTAAAAAGAGTTTTGCTTTGAAAGGTGTTGTTTTCTTTCTCTTTAAAGTGACAATGAACCAGACTGAACATAATCTGACAGTGTCCCAGATTCCATCTCCACAAATATGGCACGTGTTTTATGCAGACAAGTATACATGCAGAGATGACAAGGAGAACTCTCAGGTGGAAGATATCCCCTTTGAAATCGTGTTACTAAACCCAGACGCTGAAGGAAATCCATTTGACCATTTTAGTGCTAGAGAATCTGGTAAGAATACCTATTTAAATATATCCTAAATACAAAAAAAAGACATAAAAAACACCTTCATGTTGTGTTTTTAGAATATTAAAAATTTAAAGTCATCTATGTGTTTAGCATTTGGGAAATGGCTGAATGAATCTTTTGATAACATTTTGATAGCTATAATATTAAGTTTAAAAGGCAGAACACTGAATTTTATATTGCATGACTTCAGTGTATTTAAAAATGCAGAGAATGAGTTTTTAAAAATCACAAAAATAATAGGTTTCTTATTCTGAATGGTAGAGATGTATAGTGTTTAGTCTGCTCTGTGTGGTCTACCTCTTTTTATTATTTTATGACATCTTAGAATTATATTTATAAACAAAAATGTTAATAAAGCAATTTAAATTGATATTTCAGCAGTTTAGCTTAGAAACTGAATTATTTTCCAAGGCTATCCTTTCACTAGGTTGTTTGAACAGATTTAGGGACTGCCTTTATTGGTACATAGGAATGATCAGAATCTATAATGCTTTCTGGAGTCAAATTTACTTCCATAAAGACACATTTTACCAAATTTTAGGTGACTATGCCCGGCCCTATTGAAGTGAGATTCCTAGCCTCAACAAAAATTAAGGGATTCTTATGATTTCGATAAACCCAGTATGAAGTAGAATAGACTTGTTGGAGTAACATGTCAGAGTTATAAAAGGATTTATATAGGCCATCTGTCAAAGAAAAGTGATGACTTCATGAGTTATTTGCCCATTTGAAAAAGTCAGTCTACTTAGAGAAGAATTTAATTCCATTGCATCTCATCGGCCATAAAGAGGATGGGTGGAGGGTGGGACAAAAATAAGGCCGTGTTAGACTTAACCAATGTTTAGTTCAAAGTGTAAGTTTGCCACAGCTAGAAAAGCAAGTCAAAGAGCATTTGTAATAGGTCACAAATGAATGTATAAAGAATGAATATATTATAATATCCATTGGTTTGAAAAAGTTTATAGAGTCAGTGGGATGCTAATGTTTTAAAATAGATAGTTTTAAAAGTTCTTTCTGTGAGGGAAATGAGAGTCTAAGCCACTCAGGTTGTTTTTGAATGCAGATGAACTTAAAGGTCAGATTTCACTAATGATAACCTTAGAACAGTGTGGATCATTATTGAAAGCTAGTCTTGTCATTTATTTTATCTTTATAAAAGATGTTGACATTTATTTTCCATATTTTGAAAAGGCATTGGTGAAATCCAAATCTGATAGCATTGGATGACTGATTTGGACTAAATTACTTTTTTTTTTAGAGAGGGAATTTTTTAATATTTATTTTTCAGTTTTCGGAGGACACAACATCTTTATTTTATTTTATTTTATGTGATGCTGAGGATCGAACCCAGCGCCCCGTGCATGCGTGTTACCGCTTGAGCCACATCCCCAGCCTTGGACTAAATTACTTTTAAGATCCCTTTCAACAGCACCATGAAAATGGAAGGGAGATCAGTGGGGTGGGGGTGGGGTTTGAAAGGGACAGGGGAGGGAAGGGAAGAGAAAGGAATAGCAGAATGATGTTGACCAAATTATGCTGTGTGCATGTGTGAATGTACCATGGTAAATTCCACCTTTATGTATATCTATGAAGTACCAATTTATAAGAGCAATAATAGAGATGGGGGATAATAGAGATGGGGGAGAACAACGGAGTAGAGGAGGAGATGGACACTGAAATGGAATAAATTATATTCCATGCATGTGTTATGTCAAAATGAACCTCACTATTATGTATAGCTATAATCCACTAATAAAGACACTTTTAAAAAGTTGATAGTTGCTTGGAGTTGAGAGTAGGTATGAGAATTACTGCAAACACGCACCAGGGGCTTTTGGAAGAAGTGGAAATGTTTTAGAACTGAATTGTGGGCTGGGACTATAGCTCAGTGGATATGCCTAGCATATTCAAAGCCCTGAGTTCAATCCCCAGTACTACCAAAAGAAAAAAACTGAATTGTGGTTGTTGCACAACTGTATAACTATACCAAAAATTATCGTATACTAACCTTGAGTGCGTTTTATGATATACATCAGTTATGCCTCCTTAGTAAAGCTATTTTAAAAAGATATGGGAAAGAAAGATCACTTTACTGTATGATTTCATTAAACACCAATTTTTAGGGCCAGGCAAGGGCTTACTAGGAAGTAATCCTTTATATGCCAGCCCCACTGCCTCTAGTGGAGTCCAGATGTGCTGTCCTTTCCCCTCCTGCCTTCTAGGCAGTAGACCTTTGGCTCAAAAGGTTGTCTTATTTATTGTGTGGCTCTCTGGGACTTGAGACTCCCGATATGCTTTTTTCTTGCCTCCTTTTCCAGGCTTCCATTTCTGCTCTCTTCCCTCATTCCAGTTTCACATCTGAACTTTGAACCCACACCTTTATGCAATTACATCTCTGCCCTGTGCTGTGCTTGGGCCAATGAATGCCACCCACACCCACCTGCCTTGTCCTGAACCTTGCCCATATCTTCTAGTGTTTTCCTTAACATCTGGAGTTATGGCTAGCTTTTTAGGATTTACATTCTGCTTTGCTTCTTAGTTCTGACTCATTCTAACTTTTCTTAATGTTGTCACTGATGTTGGTTTGATGCTCACTCTGATATCTTAAAGTTTTTTCTTATTCTAAAATGTGTAAAGTTACATTGGTTATGTAGCTGACAATGTTTAAACAAGGAGCAAAACCTCACTGTAATGTGTATTTTCATTAAGCATGATTCTGTGCAGGACTAACCTTCAGGGATTGATTATTAAAAAGTGCCAAAAGTACTCAAAAGTTCTCAGCCTTAATTTTTGACTAGTTTAATTCCTAAAGATCATATCATTGTATTGATTAAAATGCCTGCAATTCTTTGTTATTCTAGTCCAAATTGATGGTTTGCAGCCTATTACTGTGTTTATAGCTAGAGAAGCTATTTTTAAAAATCCAGATTGGTTCAGAGCTCTGAAGTTGATTCTGTTTATTGTCAGGACCACTGACCTAAAAGTCTCTACTCCACATTGTTTTGGTGATGTGTTAGTTTTTTAAAGTAAAGGCTTAAGAGGGATTCTTTTATTCTCAGGTATTTGTTTTCAGGGAATAATCTCCAATTAGTTCATTTCAGAAACTTGGTCACTTATCTCGTTATCTGCTCCAAGTAAGGAGAATTGATTTGCTATGGCTTTATTTATTAAGAATTGACTATTTCTGTATGTCTGGGAGGTTTGAATTAGAATAACCTGCTGATAATTACTGCAATTAATGATACATGTTAATCTGGTTAAATTTTATAATTTGTTTTCTTTCAAAACAATTAGTGTTTTTATATCTAACAGACTTTGGTTAATCCTCTATTCTGTACAGTCTAATTTTACAAAATGAACTGAGGCAAGTTTGATGCCACTGGACAGTGTACTAAATAGGAGCATAATGCTTTAAGGTAGAATCAAATGAAACTGCTTTGTAAAAAGATTAAAATCCTTGTTAACTGTATTCGTGCTCTTGTTAGCGACCAAAAGAAGCACCTAGGATGCCAAGAGCGTTATTACCTAAGGCAGATAGACTGGTTTTCATTGGAATATTACAGGCTCTCACATCTGCCATCTCACTGTATTTAATTTTAGCATATATGTTCATGCTTTTCTGTTTTCCCTTTTTTCCTCTATGTTCCAAAAGATAATGGGTTAGATCTTAATGTTGCACTGGTAACATGTTTTATTAGTAACATGTTTTAATGTTTTTAGCTTAAAGTAATAGAAAACCCTAAGGCAAGTGGTATACTTAATTATCTTAAACAAGAAAAGGATCTAAGGCTTTTCCAGAGCGGATTATTTAGTGTCTCTCTGCCCTGGTATCCTCTGTCACCTTTGTCTTTAGGTTGGCTCCCCATAGGGTTAGCTATAGTTGTTCTGGACATCCCATCTAGGTATTGGCAAATTTTGGTATCTCTTCTTAATAGCAAGGGAATCTTTCCCAGAAGCTCCCATCACATTTCATTGGCTAGAACTAGGTCATATATCTTTGCATTATAAGAGAAATGTTAGTTTCCGTACAGAAAGATGATAAAGGTAAACAAATCTGTCGAAGGGGCTAGATTTACCTTCTGCTGGCAAGGGTATTGGAATTTCTGATTGCTGTTGGGGCATAGGAGGGAGGGTACATATTGGGACCAAGACAGGAAGGATGGTGGACAGGCAAGCAGATCTGCTGCAAGTGCTGCCCCATGGCTGAAGGATTCTTTCTGCTTTTCTTATCCTCTGCTCTCCCATCATTTAGGTGGGGCTGAAGTTATTGAAGCTCTTCTCTAAGTTTTCTTCCTACTTGATTTTGCCAGTTCTTCATTTGAACTTGCCTTACAACCTATACATTTCCTTATAACCTGTGTCACTACAGTTACATGTTCATTTAAGAATGTGTTTCTTCTTTAGTGAATGTTGTTTTAAGTAGGACAAGTAACACTTTGTATTCATCTGTTTTTAGATTTTAATTTCAGTGTGAAAAAACACAGATTGTTTTGGTCTTGTGAAGCTTGGTGGCATAAAAAAAGTATAATTGGTAACTGAAGTGGAAAAAAATCAGACTTTTGGGGGAGTGATTTGTTTTTTAAAAAAACAGTGCTTTGTAGATATACACTGTGGACATTTATGTAAGTACATAGCATATTTTGGTCTGTTTCATTCCAGAGTTCCTCTCTTCCTGCCCTCCTTCACCTCCTTTATCTCCTTCCTCCACTCCACTGATCTCCCTTCCTTTTTTGTGGGATCCCCGCCCCCCCGCACCGTTGTTGTTGTTGGTTTTGGTTTTTTTCCCCTTATTTTGCTCTAGCTTCTGTAAAGTATCAATTTTAAAAACAATAAAATGGAGGGAAGCCCAGTAGGTAGAGGAAAGGGAGCAGCAGGAAGGAGGAAGAGAAAAGAGGAAGTGATGGGGACTGAAAGTGATTCTATATATATTATATAGAACTATAACATACTCATTAAAAACATTAAAAATTTTAAAAACAGTGTAGACACAACACACCCTTTTATCTTTAAAGTAGCTCATGGATGGCCTCAAGGAAAGAATCATTTATCTAAAATTTAGTGAACAAAGTATTTTAGTTTGGTTCATTTAATATATTATTTCAGTGAAACAATTTGCTTTTTTGGCTATAAAATTGGTCCTTTCTGAGAGATACATTTAACATTGAATAATCCTCAGGCTTTTTTTTTTTTTTTTTTTTTTTGCTGGTGATAGGTGTCTTATTTTTAAAAGTACCCTCCTCCCACATTATTCTGATTTCTTAGTCTGAGGATTTTCTTTTCATGGTAGATTTGTACCCTAATGGAGCCTGAAACTTTATCCTGTAATAGATATTCTATAAAGTATTATAAATAAAACTTTAAATAGAATGCTTTATTCCTTAATACAAAGAAGGAAAGGTAAAAACTAAGATCTAATACACAGAATAGTATAAGGAATTTTACTGACCCACAGCTGTTATAATATGGTTAGCATTTGTGTTTTGTATTGTTCCAGTCCTACAGTAATCTGAGGATTATGGTTCCATTATTTCTAAAGCTGCAGTGCTTTTCTATGTAAGGAATTTAAAAAGGAAGTATGCCCCTTCTGTTATTTGATCTTCTCTTCCTGAAGTCTAAACATACTTTTTCACCTGCTCTAGAAAGTGACTGTCTTTATATTTATATAGGTAGAGCAGGGGAGACACCCAGTGGAGAAAAACTTCTTGCTGCCTTTTTTTTTTTTTCCTCCTAACCATGCCCCTAAAGTGATTGAGATTGAACTATTTGACTTTTTCCCTTTTATTTGTGTCTTCTATATCTTTTCCAAAATTATTTTCCACATAATGTAAATGTTCCTTTTCTGCTCATTAACTGGAGTTTTCCTCGAGGGTAAATGGAGCAGGCTCAGTGTTCACAATTGGAAGGGGAGTGAGTGTAATTTACATTCTTCATCCACAGATTCTGTGGAGATGGCTCTAATCTCAGCTGCTATCATGACATTCTAATATTAGTTAGAATTTAAAAGCTATATATTAGGGACTGTCTTGAGTGTAACCAAGTACTATTGGCCCTTTATATCCACAGGTTCTATTTTCATGGATACCAGATCAAATATATTGTGGAAAAAATTGTACTGAACATATGCAGACTTTTTTCTTGTCAGTATTCACTAAACAATACAGCATAACATCTAGTTAACATGAATTTACATTGTATTGGTATAATAAGTAATCTAGAGATGATTTGGAGTATATAGGAGCATGTGCCTAGCTTTTATTCAAATAAAATACCATTTTATATGAAGGACTCCATATATTTTGGTATCCCAGTGGTATCCTGGAACCAGTCCTCTTTGGTTACTGAGGGATGCCTGTAAATGTAAGCAATAAACCTCAGTACATCTTCTGGCTTATTATAAAAAAAAAAAATTATAAAATTTCTGGAAGAGGAACACTCAGAAAAAGATTCCAAGTCACCCAGAAAAGGTGGTGTTGATCATGAAGTTATGTGAAGACTATGGAGAAGAGCTGCTTTTTGGAACTAGAGGTCGCTATAATGACTGCATCCTTTTTAATATAGCATCTGCACTTTGTTCTCATCTTTGCCAACCAGCGCTCTTTGCTCATAATTTCTGCTCACTCAAAATTTTATTTCTTGTAGCCTAGTTTGACTCCTGTGGCCTGTCCTAGCATCAAGTCTTTTATGGACTACTTCCCTTTTCATATTTTGTTGTTTGAATTCCCAAAAAATATGACTGACCTATCTTGCCTTTGAGAACAAAGTTATGTTGTTGGCAACTTGAATTGGTGGCCAGTTATTTAGTATCACAATTCCAGTTAATCGTAGAGCAGTCATTTGATCTCCATAGGATTTCCTCTTTGGCAAGAGCTACACAAAGTTTACCTCAGAAAGTGACTTTGGCTATAATAGGTGTTTTAAAGTTTTATCCAAATGGAAATTTAAAGTAATGGAGCATTCCAGAACATGTTAGTGGTATCAGAATCACCCTAAAACTTACTAAAACACAAATTAATGAGTTCCACCTTCAGGGATTCTGATTCAGTAGATCTGAAGTGGGGCCTAAGGTATTTCATTTTCAACAAGTTCTCTGGTGATGCTGCTGGCCCAGGGACGACACTTGGAGGAGCATCATCCAGGTATAGCAAACTATTAATGACTAAATAGATCTATTTCTAAACTTCTCACAAAAGAATCCACTTTTAGGGTAAAAAGTATATCTAACTGAATATTGAAATCTTTGTTTTCGTTTGCTGTTTTCAAACTAAAGTGTGATTTTATGGTGAATCTTTGGGCTTCCTTGACTGCGTTTTTTTTTTTTTTTTAATAGATTGACTTTAAGTAGTTGGTTTAATCTACTTTTTTATAGTTAAAACTTTGTCCTAAAGTAAAAAATTGGTTTTTAAATAATTTCCCTCTTTATTTTCTCACAAAAATAAATGCTGTGACTTCAGTTTTAAAAGTCTAGATATATATTGACAGGAAAACTTGAAAGCAGCCCAACACTGCACTGGCTTTGTTTTACTGAAGCAAACTCCCTTTCTTCTCTTCGCAGGGTTACATGAGTTCTTTTTCCTCCTAGTCCTAGTGTACTTTGTGATTGCTTGCATTTATGCTCAATCATTGTGGCAGGCTATTAAGAAAGGAGGACCCATGCACATGATTTTAAAGGTTCTGACAACTGCATTGCTGTTACAAGCTGGTTCAGCTTTAGCTAATTACATTCATTTCTCCAGGTAACTCAAAACCACTAAAACTGTGTTCATCATTACGTCTAATTAATCCTAATTAGTGCACCACAATTATGCTTGCTTTGATTATGAACACTTTTTTTCGCATTTGTAATTTACACTAATATGTTCCATTTCAATTCCTCAGGTATTCCAAGGATGGAATAGGGGTACCTTTTATGGGAAGTTTGGCAGAATGTGAGTATTGTTCTGAGCACTGTTTAATTTTTTTTAAGATAAACTTGCTATCTGCTTGTTCATTTTCCCTTTTTAAAAATTATTTTGTATTGGGGAAAAAAGCTCAGTGGCAGAGCACATGCCTAGCAGGTGTGAGGCCTTGGGTTTAATCCCCAGCATTGCAAAAACCACATAAATATGTAATTTTTTAACATAGTACAGTTTTTATGCCCAAGGTTGGTTAGAACTCATATTGACTGAAAACAAGGTTACAGATTTAGTTCTCATTTATCCTCCCTAGTTTCTTCTTAATAATATGTGTAACTCTTCATTATTTTGAGAGCATATTTACATATATAGTCTCTGATTTTATCCTCACCAAAAAGTAGATATGCTTATCCCTATTTTGCAGATAAAGAATCTGGACTCAGTGACATGAAGCACGTTTTCATATGTCACTCAGCTATTGAGCAGTAGAGGTCTGACCCCAGTGCTGAATATTTTTTCCCTATTGTAATTCCATTTTCTGTTGCACCAACTTTTTTTCTGTTTTTGACACTAGGCCATATGTAGATCTATAATTGAGCTGATCGCACATCTTTGTTCTTTTATTTATAAGAGAAACTTTTATGAAGTAATTTTTCAATTAAGCATGATAGAAAAAGATATTTAAAAGGTCCTGTAATCATGACATTTTAGAGAACTGCAAAGGGACATTAAGTTTTATGCTACTCTTAATATTGGAAAACTAAGATTTGCTCTACAAAGCAGATTTTTAATATGAAACTCATTTTATCTTTGGATTTACTATTAGGATTTACTTTTCTTTATATTTCCACATTTCTCTTCTAGTCTCGTTGCTCTTTTAGGGTATCTTGTGGTAATTACCACTAATCATCTTTGGACCCACTCATCCAGACCTTGCCACCTGTTTCAAGATTTTGAAACTTGAAAACCCTTTCATTCTCCTTGTGAAGGGGATATGTTCAGTGCACTTCTGTACACAAGCAGGAGGGGCTTATCCTTTCTGAACATTGTCTAGAGCTCTGCTTCTCCCTTTTGGAAGTCTTTCAAATATTTAATGGAATTGTAGATTGTTAAAGCTGGACAGAACCTTAGAAATAATTCAGCTTATGCATTTTAGATGAAGAAATTGACATTCAAAGGGGCAAAGCACACAGAGCCAATTAGTGGCAAAGCTATTACTAAAATGAAAGACTGATGAATATTTGTGAGTGTCTGCTATATATAATACAGTGTCAGTCTTGCATTTTTATGGAAGGCTGAGAAACAAAAATTTGTGTGTGTGTGTGTATGTGTGTGTGTGTGTGTGTGTGTGAGTGATGTGTGTGTGTGTGTGTTTAGAATGGCAATAAATTGATGTTGCTGATTTTTGGTGCTTCCTACAGCAAAAGGTTTAGTTAGTTAAAGTAATTAAAATTCAAGACAGAATGGAGTTTTTGTGTGATCTGTGTATTCTATATGAAATTAATTACTTTCCAACAACAAATGAGCTGTCTTCTACCTATCCAGTTATAGTCTTATATCCATCTGTGTATTACTTAGTACATAAAGAAATGAGCCAGAATATTAGGGGGGTTTTCCAGGTATTTGTTTTTGCTACTTAGCAGCTTATGTATTATTTTCTGCTTAATAATAGCTTTCTTTCATATTTTCTATTGCGCGGTAAGTACACTGAATGAGTGAATCAATTTCTACATAAGCTACTTAGCAGCTTATGTAGGAATATTCCTTTAGCTTCTTTATGTAATTAAATGAATGTATTTTTGAAATGTTTAATAAAATTAATTGATATCACAGTGATTCAAAAACCTATGATGAAAAGAAAGTGTTCTTGATGTGATTGGCCATAACATTTTATTTATTCAAATGTAGTGGTAATTATCAGAATTCACTACCACAGATACATTAGTATAAATGTAGAGTAGCCAATTTTAATTTAGATGAAAGGGGAAAATCTGTAAAAATATATTTGAAAAGGTGTATTAGAAATGGATTTTTAGCTTGCAGTTTTTAAACATGAACCTTTATATACTAGAGCTAGTTTTCTCTGTTTTTATAATATCCTTACATAAAAGAAGTAAAATTTATGAATATCAGAGTTTCTGTGTGGCACTTTGTTAAATTATCACAAATTTATTCCAAAATGCACATCAGAACACACCACTATGAAAAATTATAGCCCTTAAAAAATCAATCACTACTAGTTTATATAAATATGGGTGGAACTTGAAGTATTTATAGATTTTGTTTCCCTATACTGCTGAACGGGATACAGGTGATTTTGTTACTGTTTTTTAAAAGTAGCAGGCTTCCCCTGCAGTTCAAGTGATAGCCACCTGGTGGCACATTGCACTAATTCACCAAGCTTTCCATTTGTCTTCAGCACTTTGAAACTAAAACTGACATAATTGGATGTCACAGTGGCTATGTACTTTATTGTCATAGTGTTTCTTACTAATAATTTTAGAAAATGCTATTTACAATATAGTTTAGTCATCAAAAAAATTAACAACCCAGAATTAAAGGTATTGATATTTTGTACACGGCACAAATTATATTTAAAATTTGATTCTTTTGATCAGGATTATCTATGGTTATGAAAGCTTAGAAAAATGGAAAACATGTATGTCATTAAGGTTAAACTTAATAGAGATATGATATGGGTATGTGTGTGTGTATATATATATATATATATATATATATATATATATGTATATATATATATATATGTATACATTTTAAAGTAGTATTACCACTGTTTTAACTGTTTTTATAAACATTATATATTTTTCGGAAATTTTTGTAATCCTTTAGAATTATCATCCATGAATATCACTTATTGAATTTCCTTAGCGTCTCTTTAAAAAATGCCTGTACTTTTGTGGCTTACAAAATAAAACAAAAGGTAATTTTATCTCAATGCAAAAAGTACCAAATTCTGTGTATTATGAAAACTTGGTTAACTTCAATTTTTATTTCCCTTTAGTTTTTGACATTGCTTCCCAAATTCACATGTTATACCTACTTCTGAGTCTATGCATGGGTTGGACTATAGTCAGAATGAAGAAGTCTCAAAGCAGACCTCTCCAGTGGGATTCTACTCCTGCATCCACTGGCATTGCCGTGTTCATTGTCGTAACACAGGTGAGTGGTGAGTGCTGAGACCCAGTTTTATGCTTAACAATATTTAGAAATGCCAATGTATTTCAGAATTGAAATTTGGGACCCATGAGAAATTTGTATCATTTTGAAGTATGGATTTAAAGATCAAATAATCTGTTAACCTTCCAGGTGCTAATATATATAGTTTGTGGGATTTAATTGTAACTTACCTGGATTTGAGCATCCTACCAGCTTTTCTAAGTGTAATGTTTCCTACTTAATAATAGCTTTCTTTCATATTTCTTTATTACATGGTAAGTACTGACCATTTAATGAGTGATTCAATGAATTTGAGATTTTATTCCATTGACAAGGATCTTTACAGTTGGTTACTTTATACATAAAAATATTTGAGTAACTATAGGAGATTAATTAAAAGGCAAAATATGGAATAAGATAGAATGGGGTCTATTTTTCTGGAAACAAATACAAAAACAGATCTAATCTTATATAGAGGACATAAGTTTTGAGGATTTTCAGTAATAGCAAAACATAGGTCCTTTTAATTTTTTCCTTTTCCTCTATATTGGTAGCATTGACTGTATTCTAAGATATCTCTATGCCTACGTGCAATGGATTTATAAAAATTAGGAAGAAAGAAAGGTGTGAACAAAAATTTATACTGAGTCTATGGCCAGCATTAACTACAGATAATAATGAAATATGCATGTGGGCTCTGTAAAGGACATTATGATGTAGGTTTTAATGCATTAAATAAATTGAAAATTCACTAATCAGTGGTGGAGCCGGTGCTGTATTCACCTTTTCCCGTAGTATTAGTAAAGTATAGTAGGTGCTGAGTGACGTAGGAGTATTGAATTTACATGATTGATTTGAGAAAGATTATTTCCTAGTGGGTGATATTTTGAAAGTAGAGAGTGCCAGGAAAGGGCCTATGAATTCAATTAGAAGTGATTAAAATAAAGTAAGACCAACTTAATGTTTTTGATCCAGGATATATGGAGAATATTATTAATTTCTTTTTAAATTCTCATTTCTAAATTCATAGCTCTTTTAAAAACTCAGTTTTCATTAATCATTTTGTTATAATTTTAATTCATTATCATAGACAAATACAAACTGAAAATTAAGATTTTGACCCTACCCTAGAGTTTAAATGGGTATTTAGGAAGAATGCATTAGATAAAGCCCTGATCCTCAGCAGCCAGACAAGGTTGATGAGACAGGCAACCAAAGACTACATAAATACATATATCATACAGATCACATATTGGCATATGTGTATAAAAATAGGGAGTTCAAATTGTAAAAATGTGAAACATGAAAAATAGTAATTCTATAATAGTACTTGTGGTGTAAAATTTAAGTTTAGAAATGTGGTTAAGAAATCAGATAGGCATAATTTTATGGAAGGAATAACACTTTCAGTAATAGCAAAATTTAAGCTCCTAAAGAAAATTTTACATGTGCAGGATGACAAAGTTCACTTACTAAGAGTACTAGCAGTAATAAAATTAGGGTAGAACTGTGAGAATGAGGAAAGGAAGAGGTTGCTGGTAAATCCATAAAATCTAAGAATTGAATTTCATAGTGAGATTTATCTAAACTCTTTGGAAGTCACTAAAGACTCGGTTCTGTGGGCTGAATTGACAAATAAATGAAGCCCAAAGGTTATGTTTGATGCTAAAAATATTACAGTAATTTAAGCAGTTGATGTTTGGTAAGGATGGAGGAAAGATGGACACTGATTTCTACTGAATGGCAGTGAACAGAACGGCATAATGAGAATTTGCTGCGCTTTTCACTATTGAAATAACAATATGGGAGAAAAGGTCAGCAGACAACATAAGGGTGTGTAACAGTGCCCTGGGCACTTACAGTGAACATGAAAGATGTGTTTTCTTTTAGCTATGAGGTTACCATGAAAAAGTGAAGTCTGAAATCAACAACTCTGACTTGTTAATTCTGGATTACAAAAGATCTTGAGACATTTGAAAGTTACCTTGAGATAATAGACTGTAATGCAGAACAGTTTGATTTTTATTGACAATACTGAAGTAAGAAGAGGATGGATTTAGAAGAAAGTTTACATTTATTCACTTAACCTTTTCAATATATTTCTGTCCTTAAAGATGTCATATCTGAATCAGGATAGCACTAGTTTGTTTTTTTGTTTGTTTTGTTTTCAAAACTGGGTCTCACTTGATAAAAATTCATTTTCTCTGACTTAGTTGTTATCAGAGCAAGGAAAAAACTATGCCTGTACTTTATTATTTAACAGCCTTTATAATCTGTTACATCTTTACATCCCTTAGGAATATTTATATAATGTTAAAGGGAAAGTTTGCAAAAGTTGAAAAAAAAAATTTTGGGTAGGTATCATTTTTTTTTCTTCTCTAAATGTAATGTTTAAATTTTTAAAAATTTTTTGCAGAGTATTTTACTACTTTGGGAACAGTTTGAAGATACTAGTCATCACAGCTACCATTCGCACCACAACTTAGCAGGGATTCTCCTAATCATTTTAAGAATTTGCCTAGCATTGTCTTTAGGATGTGGACTCTATCAAATCATCACAGTGGAGAGAAGCACACTCAAAAGAGAGTTCTACATCACATTTGCCAAAGTATGAGCTGGGGTAAAAAGTGATTATTCTGATTATGAATGTTGTTCTGATTTCTGTGGGAAGTTAATAAAATCCACGTGCTAACTTCTGTTTACTTATTATGTGTTAGGAACTACTGTAAGCCCTTTATTTGTATTACTCATTTAATCTTCACAACCATAATGCTGTGGGCATTATCTTCCCAATTTTAGAGAACCTATGGAGTAGTATTTTCCATGTAATCTTTGTCAACTTTGCCTGTATTATAGTTTCTTATATCAATAGGGATTTTGCATTTTCTCTGTGGTAACAGAATATTTTTTAATTTTTTTAATGATATTCTAATTTATCATTCTAATTAGAATACAGTTTGCAATTTTTCAACAGTTTATTAATTAGCTGAACTGTTTGTCTCAGAGTTATGCAGTGTTTTATAACACTTGAGGAGCTATCCTGTAGCATAAGCAGATGAAGCCAGGTGGCTGAGTACCTATTGTGTTTCAGCTACTTCACCCATATTAAATCATGTCCATTTTATTTCCCCTTTCTTTGTTGTTGTACTTTTTGGTTGTTTATTTGTTTTTTGTTGTGCTGAGTATTGACTTAGGGGCTTTATGCATGCTAGGCAATCACTCTACCAACTGAGCTATATCCCCAGCCCTTTAAGTCCCCCTTTGTATATCACTCTTAGGCTTGAGAGAGCTTTAAAAAAATATATTTTTTGTTTGTTTATTTGTTTGTTTTATTCTCCTTATACCTAGTTAGTCAAAGGAAAGATTGTCAAGAGAAGTGTTGGAGCAGTAACTCACAGAAACCTTCCTTCCATAGAGGTTCTGTTTTTCTGTCAGGTTGAAAAAATCTGTGTCCCTTCATTCCTGTGTGCAGTAGATCCAGCCTGGTCCACCAGCATTCTGAGGCATGTATGGCAGAAGAGCCAAATTCCTCCCTATTTCTGGTGTTGAACTTTGCAAAGCTGCTGCAGTGGCCCTAGAACCCAGCTTCAGACTGGGTTCTAGGGCCACTGCAAAGTACCCAAAGGGCAAGAAATTGCCATTTTGCTTTTGAATTTTTCACAGGGGCAGGAGTGGATATTGTTTGATAAGTTCATATATATTTGAGATGTTTGGGCCCTTTTTTTGTTCAAAACAGTATTAAATGTTTTTATTTGAACTTAAATAAAAATTATTTTTAGTTTTTAATATAACTTTTTGAATAGAGTCAAAAATCTAAAAGTATTCAAAGAGTAGCAAAAAGTACTTCTTACCTTGCTTCCTTCTATGCAGTTACCACCATCTCCTCATATCATCACTGATAGGAGTTCCTAATTTATCCTCCCAGAGAATTTTATTTATTTCTACATGTAGTTTCCTCCATTTTCATTCATGTAAAAATGTACCAAACACTTTTTCTACATCTTTTTAATCCTTGAATCTTCAGTGTACCCCACAACAGCTATATTTTAACTTACTTGTTTCAAATTTAATTTTTGGAAAAGCGAATATGCTGAAATAATTCAAGGAAAACCAGAAAAAGATATTTGGAAAGTATAATATAAACAGTTTTCCATTCTTACCTTCCCATTCTCCCTCCTCCATATTACCTCCAAAAAGGTAACCACTATTAGTCAGTTTTTTGGTGTGTATTTTTACAAAGTTTCTTTGTGTATCTACATTCACATACGAATGTGCATTTTTATGTTTTTTTACAAAAATATTCTACATTTGTACCTTGCTTTTTCTCAATTATTGTTGCTTATATTAATGTATTTATAAGTATTGTCAAAATTTGTATATATAACAGATTTACAAATAGAAGGTTATAAATACTCTTTAAAAACACATTTGGTTAGAAACAGTATTAATATGACAGCAACAGTAAATTTTTTCTACATTTTATTGCTAGCTTTATCCTAAAGGCCAGTTGAGGCCAATCAGGAATTCAGTGCTAGTAACAATGTTTTTATCTGGTACATTCTGTAAATAAAGACAAAGCTGTACTTATTTGACTTATTATTCATTTGTTTCAGGGTTGTATCCTGTGGTTTTTATGCCATCCTGTTCTTACGTGCATTTCTATCCTTTTCAGTGACTACCAAAGAGATAAGGTAAGTAATATAATCAAACTAGTCATTTTAAATGAAAATGTAGTCTTTTTTTGAAAAATATTGAGGTAGGAGAGGCCTGTTGATTCAGAAGTTTGAGTTCTTTACAACTGACAAAATATTGAACTTGTGATTGTTTAAAATATAAAATAATTTTTAGAAATTTAGTTTATAAGCAAAATGATGGAAATATCTTTTGTTCTTAATTCAGCCTTCTTCAGAATAATGTTTTATATATTAAATATGTAATATATATATCTCCTCCCACCCCCAGTGCTAGGCGTCGAACCCAGGGCCTTGTGTATGCTGGGCAAGTGTTTTACTTTGAACTACGTACCCAGCCACATAGTATAGAATTTATAATACATCTTTGTTAAGAAAAAGATTAAATTTTTTGCTCCATAATGGTAAAAATCATGATAGATTCATAAAAATCAGTCAGTTTCTGTAACAGACTACAGGCTGGAGTGCCATGCTCAAGTAGCCGAGTCTTGATTGTGTTGATTCCTCCCCTCCTGGGCGAACTGCTCCATCACTTGATAGTGGAGTTCTGCCAGGAGCCCTTTATAAAGCAGTGCACTATGTGCTTGAATGCACAAATGTTTATTGAGCCTGAGGTATTCACAAGGGTAAATAAGTAGGAAGGTAGTATATAGAAATAGGGAAGTGACTTGAAAATCTCTGAAAGGGCTTTAGAGCACTCTGGCATTTGGTAGTGGCATGCTTAATTCCTATTAGCCAGGAACCTGGTTTTTCCTGTGAGTTACTACTCTTGTCTATACTCTTGTGTGCAAACCCTTAGGAGAGAATGTTTTAGCAAGTTATTCTTTTGTGTCTTACTTGGCATCTGTAAACTGTTGGAGGAATTTTTCCCTTGAACAATTACAGTTCATAACATAAGTCATATTTTCCTGTTGAAGATTTCTTTGATAAAATGTACATGTGGTAAAGATGAAGTACTGTATATAAAAAGCATATACGTGTTCATGATAAATAGAATATATTTTCTGTTTCTGCTTGCAGTAAAAGCATTCTCTTTCTTTTCTTTTCAGGTTATCACAATAGGTGTTATCCTTTGCCAGTCTGTTTCCATGGTTATTCTCTACAGACTTTTCCTATCCCACAGTCTATATTGGGAAGTCTCTTCTCTTTCCTCAGTAACACTGCCACTGACCATATCATCTGGACACAAAAGTCGCCCTCATTTCTGATACTTGATTTTTGTTGAAAGAAAAAGTGAATTGGTTAAAGGAGTGCAATAAGGATCCAAATACAGTGACTCTTTTTTCATACATTTGGTATGAAAAATTGAACTTTGAAACCAGAGCATGTTATTTATATAACTGCATTTAAGCAGTACCAAAATCAAAAAGGTAATAAATCAAATGTTTTGAAAGAAACTTAAACAATAAACTTTCAAGAAAGAGTGTTGTTATAAGGTGATTGAAGCAATTTCCATTTGGAATAAATGTGAAAAAGAACTATATGATAGTTTGGTAAGATATTCACCACTTATAATGCCTCATATCAATAGCTAACTCAGGTTTGATAGTATTTTAAAAAGTAATCAGTTAAATGATTACTTGCATATACATATCTAAACTAGTCCAGTTATGAAATCAGTGTAATACATTGATTGAAAAAACTGCTTCGTTTTAATGCTTTAAAGAAAATGTATTTCATGTTAGAGTTTAAAGAATTTGAAAATGAGATTACTTCAGGAAATGAATATAAAATATACTCAGCTACCTAAATAAGATTTTGTTTACTTGTGGGTGGGTTTATTTGCCAATTCTTTCATTTTTGGCTCTAGTTCAGGTTTAGCTTGATTAGCAAAGGATTTTTGACAAATTTATGAAAAATAAAACCTAGACACTTTACATGGGTTTTAAGGACAAAGGATTTTAAAATTTGAGCACTTAGGTAAAGGGACAAAAAGGTTTATGTGTCTGAAAAGAAAAAAGGAAAAGGTACTATGCGATATGGTACTAAAATTTTAATCCTGATATAATTCATTTCTCTTACATTGAATCCTCAATCATAATTAAGCCATATACCCAGATTAAATTAACAGAAGCATTTCACATAAATGTTGGTTTCAGTCATCAACTACCCATGAATTCCTGCCCAAGGATACTTAATCAGGATTAAATTTTCTATGAATAATTGAAAAACAAAATACTCACTGGGTTTGTTATAATCCGTGTTGGCACTGGATTCTAAGTAGTTGCCATCTTGAATCCTTTGTAATAAAGCCATATTTGTGGGGTTTTTTTTGTTTTTGTTTTTGGTTTTTTTTTTTTTGTGTGTGTGTGTGTGAAAGAAAGATGCCCTTCTGTTGAGTACACTAGTTTAAAAATACTCCATCAAGTGCCTGATTAAAGAATTGCTAGATGGTTGTCACTGCCTGCTGTATAAAGTGAATATTCCCATTCATAGTAACTGACTGGAAATAATTCTGTTGCTGTTTGTCAAGTTGTTCAGGCCTTTTTATTTTTATTTCTGGTTATTTAAAAATATTTTTATCTGCTTATTACATTTTTAAACAAGAAATGGTGCAATGATCTGATAATTAAACTTATAAATTAGTTAAAATGATGTAGCTCAACTTAAGAATATCTATGGCTTTGTCTGTGTTTTTCCCTGGCACATAGTCTCACTGGAAATGAATAGTATTCTACTTTATTCTAAAGGCAAAATATTTTTGTGTGTGACTAGCAAAATGGCACAGTAACAAAGCTCAACCCACTGATTAAATCACCTCCCTAATAGTTCTTTGTCTATCATTTAATAAATGAGTGCTGCAGGTTAAGACTAGAAAGTCTGAAGAATGTTTTAGGTTTACAGGATCTGCTGAGTGGTCATAACTTTTTCTTTTATCATATCACTAATAACAACCAGTTAATGTCTGCTATGTTCAACTGAGTCACAGTTAATTAATCTAAAAGAGTGAGAGAAATTTTTTTCATACAATTTGTGAAATTGCAACAATGGGAAAGGAATAATTATTTGTATTATTTTACATAAAGAACACAGTAACTATAATCAACATATGTGAAATGTATTACTATACTTGCATTTATTTAACTTTAAAAGTTTTTGTTTATTTTTCTAAGTGTAGCTGAAATGCAGATAATTTATTTTGTTATTCAAAAGCCATTGTTAAATGAAGGAAAACAGTTTTTAATAAATGTATAAAACTGTCCTTGGTTAGTAATCAGGGACAAAATTCATAGTTTGTAAGTCATGACACAGCATCATTTTTTCTTTCTGAATGTTTACATGGAGATTCTTCACTACAGATTACAGGAAGATAAGCATATAGTGCAAACTCTAATGAAAGATTAAAAACGTTTCTTCTCTTCCTCTGTCAGATAATTCTTTTTTATCCACTTTTACAATTTTTCTTGGGATAAATGTTCTGCCACTCCTGCCCCTTTTGGGAAGCAAAAATTTTTTTCTTTGGGAAGAAAAAAATTCTTTCCTTATTGACATGCATAATAGTAAGAATGCCTGCTATGCATCAGGCACTTAACCCTCATTATCACTAAGCCCTATTGCAATAACCAAGCTCCCAATGAACAGAGTAGGAGACTGTTTCCTCTAAGGTCATCCATCCATTGAGTTTTTCTACTCTACCCTCACGATTTAATGAGCATGTATTCAATGTGTATGGTTTTAGTGAGAATGAATGGTTATCCATGTTAATTTTACTGTTGGTTTGAACATTAAATCCAGAATTGTGCTGAAATCTGAAATGAAAAGAACTCAGTACTTCAGAATTTGAACCTGGCTTTCAGCCAGACTGTATTGCTAGCAGGGAGAATTAATCCAGGCAGAAGAGCTTACTTGAGGGAAATTTTTCATAATCTCAAGTAAAGTTAAGCCAATTCTCATGAAGGTAGAAGTGATACAAGTCTAAGGTCACCTCCAATAAGACTAGAATCTGTATATCAGCATGAACATGAACCCCTTCTCTCCCTTGGGAGACTGCACATTCTCTGGAAATTTTTTAGAAACCTGAAATTACTTGTAAAACCCACTCTTTTACATAGCTTCTGTGGTGTCAAATCATTGAGGATTTTGTTTTTGTTTTGAGAATTGTCATGCTCATTAGAAACATCCAGTTGGTTAGAGGTCAGATCGGAAGGGTTAGTGCCATTTTGTCTTCCAGCATGGATTTCTGAATTGAGACAATAAAGGATTGATTTTCCTATGAGGTCTGGACACCAGTGTGGAAGCCCTATAGCTTGAACTTTTGTAGTGGCTTGTGAGTAACATTCCTGCCTCCACACCTGGGCAGCCTTCTGCCTAGCTCCAAAAGCTTTGTGCACACTGGGCTGTAGGAATGCAGTGAGGCCTGGAGGTGTGGGAAGACAGCCCTGCCACTGTAGGCATTCTCCACTATGCAGCCAAAATAGCCTCTTAAAGACAAATCAGCCATACAACGGGCATCCAGGAATTCTTTGTGCTAATCTTACGACTTTTTTGGAAATTTGAAATTATTTCAAAATAAAACATTGAAAAAATATTTAAATCAGATCCAACTACTACAGCCCTGATAACTCTATTTGCCTCTCATTGTACTTAGAAAAAAAGAAGTCCCCATGTATTAACCGTGTTTTCTGCAAGTCCCCATAGGGTCTAGTTAATCCCTACCTCTATATGTGATTTTATTAATTTGTATCACTCTCCCTTCCACCATACCTCAACCTCATTGTTCTTCATCTAAAAGTACCCCGCTTATGTCCCTAAATTGGCACTAGCCATTTCTTCTGCCTAGGTTATTCTCTTCCAAATTGTGGTTGCATGACCAAATCCTCATCCTTCAAATTCTCTATACAAATGCCTTTTCAGACACCTCAACCATCTGTGGTAGATTTGATGGTGCCACCTAAGTTCCCCAGAGTTTTTGTCCCTATGTAACTCTAAGACAGTTCAGCCCACAAAAAAACAATTGATAGAGGAGATTTAGAAGGTGGAAGTAAAGCAGCAGTCAGGTCCAGACTCTGTAATTAGAAGGTCCAAGCAAGGCACTAGGCACTGTTGCAGCTTACCCCACATTGTTGACTCATCTTCTTAGCCTATGGGACAATAGCAAGGAACACAGCTTCCTGCTGGATCATCCCCTTAAGCCTGTGATTCCTGGGCCAAGTGTGTATATTACTCTGTGACAGACAGTATTAGTTTCTGCAAAACAACACCGTGCTTAACTTTGGACAACTGAAGGAAGTGAGATTGGTGTGAGTTCCAGTCCATTCTTATAAGTTCCATTTAGTCCCCATGGGTTTTATTCTTCCTAGAAAGTTCCTGAATTCTTCCATTTTATATCATCTTTCGTACCCAAGTGCCAGACAAAGAAAAACAGCTTTCCTAAAATCCATATAATTGCTTTGTTTTAAATATTAAATGTATGTGTTACATTCTAACGGTTCTCCAATCAGATCCTGAAAACACCATCCTATCTAATGCTGCTCTCCCATCCTAATTATTCTCATATTATCCTTTTTTTTTTTTTCTTTGTTGTCTCTTTCCAATTAGAATATAAATTCTAAGGGAGTTTGCTCATTGTTTTGTCCATCGCTGTATGCCTAACACCTAGAACATCCCCTGGTACACACCAGGTACTCAAAATATTTTTGAATGAATGAATGAAAACAATCCTGAAGTTCTAAATGTACTTATAATGTGGCATTAGTTAAATAATAAAAATGTCCATAGTGACTTTAGTAATATTCTACCTGTTCTCCATTAAATCATGGAACTTGGAAGTGTGTAAGTCTGGAATAGTCAAGTAGTTATAAAGACTCAACAGTAAAACTCTCCAGTTATAAGAGGATGACACAGGTTGTCACAAGGGAGTTTCCATTTTTCTGTAATACTCCATGGACCATTGTGGCTGGTTTCTTTGCCCATCACAACTAGAAGCACTAATTTAAAAGAAAGTTTTTGAGTCATCTAGAGGAAAGAATGTTGACAGAAGTTGGAGGTCGCTGGAAGAAGACAGAAAACTAAAAATGACAATACCATCACAGCAACCTGGGGTCATTTAGTTTGAGTGAAAACAGCCCTGTGTATCCCAATAGACTCTTAGACCATTTACACAGAACTCCAATTGTATATATTATACATTTGTATCAGTTCTCTCTTACTGGACTTTGGTGTTTTTAGTCTTCTATTATCAATAAGGCTGAATTTAAGACTATGTAATCAAGAATTTTCCTAGCCTTCCTCCAATCTAGTTCCCAGGTCTAACTTCTTGGAATTTTCTGAGTTATTGAATGTCTTTGTGATTCACGGTGGGTCCTGATAGTTTTTACTAGTAAGATGACTCAGGATGAGGGTTAGCCACACCAGAAATACTAACCATCTGATTAGAGGTTTGGGGCATTGAGTCACATGATTACAACCCAACCTCTAGGAAGCAGGGAGAGACTGGAGATTGAATTTCTCCTTATGGTCAGTGATTCAATGAATCCTGCCTACATAATGGAATCCCAATATAGACAACAGTCCAACTCAGGTGACTTTCTCAGGTTGGTTGGCAGTACTCTGCGTAGTCATACGTCAATGTTCTAGGAAGGTAACATGCCTCTGAAGACAAAAACTTTGTGTTTGGATCCTCCAGACCTCACCCTATGCACATCTTCTTTCAGCTATTTTGATTTGTATTCTTTTGCTATAATAAACTATAATTGCACATATAGCCTTTTCCTGAGTTCTGTTGATAGGTAACAGACGTAAGCAGTGGGAACATGAGGTTAAGGGGATAATTCCATAAACTGGGCCTCCTGTGCGGACCCCCACTTTCTTTTTAAAAGCAATTTACCTGCAGCCTGGCTTAAGTCAATAGGATATTTTACATTCATTCCTTAGCAAACAACCTGTTTTCTGCAAGAGAAATGCAGGCCCAAAAGTTCCTGTCATGTAATAAGAACACAAATTACCCTGAAGTGGGGGACTTTTGTGACCCTTGGAAAGACTAGATTCCAGAACTCAGGGAAGTAGCAGCAAAGCCCTGTAAGGATAAAATCTATAGGAACAAATTCTAATCTATAGGAACCCATCAATGTGGGCCGAAGTGATCCAGAGTTGCCTTCAGATCTTTAGCATATCATTATAATAGTAAAATTTCTTCTCCACCTAGAAAGACTAGGTGTAGTGGGGACTCGGAAGTCTGATGCAAGTTTGCTCTCAGCCAAAAATCAAGAGGTGGACTTGGCTGGGACTCTCTGGAAACTTCCCTGGGACCCCTAATACAACTGGAGGGCAGG